GCAGGAAACTTGAACTTGGTGATATGTGCTCATGATTTGTTTTGAGGGAGTTTTGTATCCGTATCTGACCTGACGGGCCTGCGTTCCACTTCAGCAGCCAAGGTATAAACCCCTCGCAGCAAGACATACACCGTAACGCAGCCCAAAGTTCATACATAAACGTGCTTTCAACTGGCTTTGTTAGTCAAGGAGAGCAAAGAGCTTGACTGAGAGAAATGGGGGTGTCATTGAAGTCTAAAAAAGGCAAGTGAAGCCGACACTCATTCCGGAACCAACTCCAAATCAAGTAAACGTTCTCAGTCATTGCTTGCAGTTTGCAGTTCGGCAACAGAGCCACTGAACGGAGAACGAATGCCCTATTCTTGAGTTAGCTTTTACTTCACATTTTCTAATGTCAGACTCCATCGCACTCACCAAACGATCTGAGATCCGTCTGTTTCTCACCCATCGGCTCTACGACGCTACATCCGGGGCTCAAGGACTTTTTCATGTTGGTCTGATTCCGGCGCTGAGCCTGTCCTTATTCTAGAAACTCAGTCGCGCAATCCATACATTCTTCCTCTCAGATCATCATCAGTCCACTCAACTGAAGAGAAACTGGAGTGATGAATTCGCCAAAAGACAAGGAAACACGTGTTGCGTACCTCTGTCATGTACACTGCCACCCGCATCTTGCCTCGCATAGTACATGAAACCGGCGTCTAACTTCTCTCTTTGTGCCAGGCTGAGTCCTGAGAGAGGAGACGCAACGTTGGAAGCGTTGCCAAATGGCATCCATTATTGGTTGGGAGGTGTTCTCGTATAGCGTGATGCTCGAAGCTGTGATTTCCAGATGTCAGCGTCGCTGCAGAAATGCTGTGCATAGGGATCAGAACAACGGCAACGCTCTTGCTCAATCAAGGAGGCGACGGCATGTAAGGGGGGAGAAAGTAAGTGCATTGAGGATCCCGTAACGGCCACACCATACCACTCCACCCTTGGCAAGTGTGATAGCTGCGAAGTAGTCAGCCTCCATTGATCAATAAGGGTTGATGTCCCTCCGCCGTTGTCATCAGACACTTCAATTCTTCCAAAGAGCCGACAATATCGCCATTGACGCTCGGACTCCATCAGGAGGCCGGCGCTAAGTCGTTGTGGTTGCTGAGTGCATTGCGTATACATTGGCAGTCGGCCAGGTGATAATGAGGAGAGAAAAGACGCGGGCGGGCGGCCTTCTCGAACTCGCCGTGTCAGCCCCGCTACTGGAAACAAAGCTGGCAACTGTTAAGCATCAGTCTGCCTGGACAACTTTCCGTCCAACTCTCCGGCCCCGATCTTGTTGTTTGATGTCGTTGGCATAGTTTCCTTGTTTTCCCCATTTTCCTTTTAAACAGGGAACCAGACCGGTAGAAGTGCCGTTTTGTCATTTAGAAGATCATCTTTGCATTCTCTCTCATTCTGTCATCATTTGCTCTTGCGATGCAGCTACTTACACTCGTTATCGTAGGCCTGTTTATGCTGATAGTGGCCGTTGTGCACTTCATCAAGGCCTTTAGGGAGGTGAACGACCCAAATGGAATTCCGGGGCCGACACAAATACCCTACTTGGGGCGCGTCCATGATCTTCCCATCCAGTTCATGTGGCTCAAGTTCAAGGAGTGGGCGGACAAATATGGACAACAAGGCTTCTACCGAACCATGATGCTCGGTGCCGAGTTCATCGTCGTGACCGATGAGAAGGTGGCGGAGGATTTGCTGGTCAAGCGCGCCAAGTATAACTCGGATCGGCCGGTTATTCAATCCTTGTTTGACTCCAAAAGCACACATGGGTCGATGGAGTACCTTCCCCTGATGGGTCACAATAGTAAGTAAACAAGCCCCTGAGAATGATGGTACAGGCCAAAACGAAGCAAAAGGTTGACAAAGGAGTTAACAACAGCATACTGGGCACGACAAAGAAAACTCAGTCATTCCTATCTGACCGAGGCCACCAAAGCTCAATACTACGGTGTAATGTACTTTGAGGTCCAGCGATGGATGGCACGCTTGCTCGAAAACCCAGAGGACTTCCAACACTCTATCGAGGACATGTCATCCAAGGTCATGTGCCAGTTGACATGGGATGATCCGAGCCTGAGTGAGTATTGTACCAAAAGTGCCTGGGGTCTCCTGACACAGATGTCACCGGCTGGACCCATCACCAACGTCCTGACACCGCTATGGCACTTGCCAATTTTGATCAACCCCTGGAAGAGAGCAGAGCGCAAACGCCACGATGAACAGCAAGCGTGGTGGATGGAACGTCTTTTGACATGCAGGGAGAAGTTGGCGCGCGGGGAACTACGCCCATGCTGGACTCGACAGTTCCTCGAGAAGACGTCCCAGAAAACCAGCATATCTGGTGACTATGAGGCCTCGTGTGTCATTGGCATGTTGGCCCTGGTTGGAATTTTCACCGTCGTAGGTCCCATGTCCTACTGGCTTGTGTCCATGGTTCACAACCCCAAATGGCAAGAGGCTGTTCAGAGGGAAGTTGACGAGGTTTGCGGTAACCGTATGCCAAGATTGGAAGACGCTCCTCGGTTGCCCATCCTCCGTGCTTGCATCAAGGAGACAATGAGGTGGAAGCCGAACGTGCCCACTGGTGTCGCCCATGAGACCGAAGCGGATGATCATTACCAGGGATACTTTATCCCCAAGGGAACGCGCATCCTGCCTTTTGACTGGTTTGTCGGTCCTATCCCGCTGTAATGCCTGCTCGATGAGATGCTGACAAGGCCAGGTCCTTTCTCCGTAACCCCGTCAAGTACCCTGACCCGGAAAACTTCCGTCCTGAGCGCTGGCTCGAACCTGGCTGGCCCACGTACAAGGAACCTCTGACTCAGTATCCGACCATCAAGGGTTTGACCTCGTTTGGCTGGGGGCAACGCCAGTGTCTTGGTATGTCACTCACCCAAGATGAGCTCATTGTCGGATGCGGTGCCTTGGCCTGGTTGTTTAACCTCCGGCATAAGCGTGATCCAGTAACGGGCCGGGAACTACCCGTTCCGCTGGACAGGAGCAACTCGCTGCTCATCATCAAGCCGGATCCGTTTCAAATGGAATTCGAGCCACGTTCCGAAGAGAGGAAGAAGGAAGCGTTGAGACTCTGGAAAGAGTCCGAGGCAAAGGATCGCGCCAGGAGGGAACGGTGGTTGAGGAACGTGAAAGAGGGAAAGGCGAATGTGATCAAGGAGCCAAAGGTGGCGCAACCGACATTGAAAATTCCATCTCCCTCACCGGCAGCAGCGGTTCCGGCTGCACTCGTGGATGGAGGAGAGGTAAGGGATGGTTTTTCGAAGACGGTGCAAGTGGTGGAAGAAAAGAGTGGCGGCGTGAATGGTCATGGTGGTTCATTGGCCGAGAAGGCGGTGATTGATGTGAAGAAGGAGGCAGATATTAGCATCACGATCGCGAGGCTCGACTCCACTGCATGTGTGTACTGATGGACATGACTGGGGAGAAATTGTAAGTAAGCAGATGGGAGTGATAAGCAATTAGCAGTCGGTGCACCTTTTTACGAGGTAATCAAACCTTTTTTTTTTCTTTTTTCTTTTTTCCCTTTTTTTTCTTTGTGGGTTATTTTCAATGCAATTTCTTCACTCAAAAGTGCGCTGATCGGGTATGTGCAATCTGTCGCGCCATGGTGAAATGGTTTATCTTGTTCGGGCGGCAGACGAGTCGAAGGGCTTGAGAAACGAGAAGAGAGGAAAACCGACGAGACAAGTTGACTGCCCAGGAAGACTGCAGTGGAGACGAGAGTGTGGCGCCGACCAGAACGTGCCTTCCCCGGGCCGTTTAGGTCATGATCCAATTCTGTTGACATGGACCACGGCAGCTGCCTCAATCCGAGTCAGCCAAAGGGCACCTTCCCGCCTTGGAGCCATCGACCGGCTTGATCGTGATCCCATCCCCAACAGAGGATTAGATGCATTGGCCTAAGCGGCTTGGACGGATCAGGCGAGTTCGACGCTCGTCATGTCGGGCCTTGACAGCACTGCACAATTAAGCGTCTAGGAACTCCAAAGAGAGACCGAAACCGTCGTGGTTTAGCCCAAGTTGGTACACAAAGGTGTCAGAGGCCGAATGTGCACATGCTGAAGGAAGGATGAAGACAACGATTCTACTACCCTTGGATATTTGGTTGCGGTGGTTTGACCTGGCTTCGCAAGAACACCCACTCTCTTTGCGTAGCCAACTCAAATCTCCACAATCAGACCTCCATGGATTATTACAATACTCTTTCGAGCTTCATTTCCTGCCATTATACCGCTATTATATATTATTGGCATCTGAATAAAATTTAACTTGTTTGTATACAATAACTGTTCTCTCATGTTCCTAACCACCGGACACTCAGGATTATCATGGATCAAAAACCATGCAAAAGTGGTGGAAGGTTCCTAAGATCATGAACCCGAAAGGAGGCGGATCAGGAAACGGGATTTGTCCAAGTCCGACATTTCTTGATTTTAAGACTGATATGTCAAGGTACATGTCAACAGGTATTTTTGCTGCGCTCTGCACTGCCCAGCATGACACGCCGCGGATGAAGTTCTCTGTGACTTTTGCCAAGACGAGCAACGAATCAATTTGAGTCGAATTGCGCCCTCTCACCTGTCAATCACGCTTGAAATGTGCTCTGCTATACCGAGTTTCACAGGAAAGAGCTGCATTTGCTCCTTCCTATCTACCGCAAGGTACATCGCTACCTGCAAGTATCAATCGTTGCACAAGGTTTGCCGGCCGGAGACAGGCGAAGGGTGCAGTGGTTCCACGGCATCACATGGACTGCCGGCACTAGGAAAGGAGGGGTTCTCTCCCTCGCTCCCTTCAGCGATCAAGACCGAATTCCTTCACGCAGCTGACTTGAACTCTGACAATCCACATTGTGAACATCGCGAACTTCCTTTCTGATAACTCACCAACAACACAGTTACAACTCACCACGAAAGGCAGATACAGCAATTTCCATAACCGCCATGTCTTCCTCCTCCAGCCTAATCCCCACCGAGGCCCTCGTCGGCACCACCGTTGCCATGTCCTTCATCCTCCTCGGTGCGTCCCGTTCCGTTCTACCATCATGCCCCTCCCTTCCCTCCCTCCCTTGCAAAAACCAACCACCAACTGACTTCCTTCTCCCCACTAGGCAACGCAATCACCCAATCCTTCATGGGCGTCCCCGCCCTCCTCATCAACTTTCCTCACCCCTCCTCCCCTTCCCACCCCCAAGCCGCCAAACACCTCGGCCAACAATGGCCTGTCTTCTGGCGTGTCGGCAACGTTTTTTTCCGCCCCATCTCCACCTTTGGCATCATCGGCTACGGCTACGCCGCCTGGGCCAGCTATTCTCGCTCTTTCTCCTCCTCCTCTTCCTCCACCACTGTCACCTCGGGTAGCAACAACAACAACGCATGGAAGTTTTATGCCATTAGTGCCTTGTGCCATTTGATCACGGTCGTGCATAGTGCGGTCAATATGCAGCCGATCAATGCCAAGATTGAAGGGTTGAATAGACGAGAGGGGGACAAGAACAAGACGGATGCGTCGCTGGCCGAGTATTATGCTAGGAAGTGGGCGAGATTGAATCTAGTGAGGCTGGTGATGCCGGCGGTGGCGGGGAGTGTGGCCTTGTGGACTACGTTGAGGGCCGGTGCCGGTGGGAGGATTTAAGGTTATTGAGCGAGGGAAGGGGAGAAGAGGATCACTGGAGATGACAACATGCTATGATTTTATTTGGGGAGAGGCTGGGTTGCGACGAGGATTGTTCGTCATGAGAACGACGAGACATGTTTGTTTCACAATGTATTGAGACGATAAGGAAAACAGCAGAGTGTAATGTGTATGGTGTAGACACATGGGCAACAAACGGTCATTAATGGGGATAATTAGGAGTGTTCAAGTACAATACGAGCTGTGCCTCATGATTAAATCAGAAATACGGTTTGGCGAAGACAAGGTTCAGACCAGTGACTTGGCCGTAGAAGTTTATTGCAGTGGCATCCTGATGACCCTTATCTTCCCAGGATCGCTAAGTAACAGAGTTCTTTCTCTCTTACATTTTGCACAAGGACGAACTAATCATGTCTGAAGGTGTTCCATTTGACTATTTGATTCTGCAAGTCTACTGGTACCATGTACTGCCGAACTACCGAGGACCAACATGGCCACCAGAAGGGCGTCTTTGCCCGGGTAACTCTTAGTGAGTAAATCTACTGATGACAAAGGAAAATAATGCTTGTGAGAAGCTTAGCAGACATGAAACACCCCTCGCCTTTCCGTCTTCAAGGTACCAGGCTGGTGTATCTCCGTTAACAACATGAGATTGTTTTATCTTCTTCATCTTCTTCTTCCCTTTGATCCCTCCTTTTTCTTATTTCCCTTCTTCTTTCTTCTATATCAACTCTTGTCGTACCATCTCTTCCACAGCCAGTAATCACCCCACCCTCCCTCCCCCTCTCCCACCTCCAAACCAGAAATTCCCCAACGCAACCCCCGCCACAAAAGTCGCTGCGCCCGAAACCCACTCCCTCTTGACAGCCACCTGCCCAGTCCGGTCGTCCAACTCCACAGGAAGCAGCCGTGAAGGAACAAACTGATTAATGACCTCGATCGTGTCGACAACGGTGCCGCTCCAACCTTTGTTCTCTCCACGTCCATGTTCATGGTCAACTAGATCACCTGACGACGACCACAATCCCGAATTATGACCATGAACATGCCCGAAACCAGAACCAGAACCAGAACCAGAATTAAAAGCTTCGGGTCCCTTGGCTGGACTTGTGCTTTTGGTAGTAGCGAATCGCAATTTCTTCCATTTCGGTGTACAATCTGCTTCTTCCGCATCTGCATCATTGGTAGATGGAGGACCTGAAGTCTCAGCCGACCAATCAACCAGACACCTTAGCGGCGAGTTTTGGTTGGAAGAAGGGTACTCGGTCGTAGTACTGAATGTGTCGGACGTGTCTAGACTGTTTAGACCGTTCATGGGCATGGGATATTGAACTGGCCTGTCCATCCCCAATTGATGTCCATGTCTGTGTGTATGCAAGGTCTCACAACCCATTACTTTACTTGGCGAACCCCCCCGATTTCCCCCCTCCGAGGAGTCCAGACTCTGTACCGGCGACGGGGGAAGTTCAGTGACAGTCACTGATGAGTGCCGCATGTGAGGCATGTGATGATGGTGATGGTGATGAACTCCGGACCCGGGACATCCACCTCCTCCGTCTTTGAGTTTGAGGGTGTCGAGGTCGAGATATGTGGCAGGCTTGTAAGTGGGTGGTGGAGGCGCCGAGGCCTCGTCGAAGCCCTTGGGGGCATGTTTCTTCTTCATCTCGACTGCTTTGGCGGAGTCGACGAATTCTTGGATTTTGGAGATTTGCGAGCCGCAGGGGGTGAAGGAGATGATGAGGAGGCATTCGTTGTTCCAGTGGATTGTCTCTTTATCTGTGGATTTGTCTTGTTGAGATTGAAATGACGGCTCTTCTAGGATTGGTGGTGATGGTGATGGGGGTGAAGGGTGTGCATCTTCTAATGATGTTGGGGGTGAAGACGACGTTGGTTCTTGTTCTTCTTCGTGGCAAGAAAATGTCGATGGGTTGGAGAGACTGAGAGAGGAAAGAGGAGGGATTTCTGAACCGGGTTCGGTGACTTCGGTGATGGGACTCAGGAGTGTCTCTGGAATTTCGGGTGACTCTGCTAGGTCTCCCAAGATATTACTTAGGTCTCCATCAGGGTTGTACACGTCTTCCATATCCACTTGGGGAGTGACCTCTTCTTTGGCCTCCATCCCGACTTTCCCACCCTCTTCAGCCTTGCCCTCCCCCTTCTCGCCTTCAGGCTTCTCCTTGGTCTTCAAGATCCCTTCCATTGCGCACCTCAATATCACCCCCCCTCTGTCCGGATCCTCCCACAGCTCTGTAGGCTTCATATCAAAGCTCTGGAATGCTGAGAAAACCATGGCGGCATGGTGCGCAAAGTCCTCCTTGCCCCTCACTGGCATGCCCAAGGATTGGGGAAGAACCTCGTGAGTGAAATTCGGACTGAGGGGTTGAAGGAGAGTAGGTGCAGAGAGGGAGCTGTAGCCTTTGAGCAGGCGACGAAGGGTCTTGAGGCGTGTATCGGCGACGGACTGGGGACGGGGTAAGCCGGAATAGACATGGTGTTGGATGGAGTGTTCCAGAGTGGGATCAGTAGATGGTGGAGTGGAGGGCGATGCCATCTTGGCGGTTGGTGAGGATGAATGCTTGAGTGTTCCGACAAATGTCTGTCAAGATCGGTGATACTTCGCTATTGTGATAAGTGGCGATAGTTGATGGGTGATGATTGCCTCCTTGATAAGGGCTGGATAACTTGGGTCAATAAGAGGGTATGTGGTTGTTGGTGTCGGGTTGACGATGTTCAAGATTTGCCGTTTATGTTAGCGCAAACAACGTACAGACTAGGCGGCGACGACGTGGCTTAGTTCAAGCGAAAGCCTGAAATGAGGTCCATGTGAACACTGCAAAAGCTGTCAAGTGGCTGTCAGGGTGAGTGCGAGACAGGCTCAGCAAGCTTTGGCTCTGGGCGAAGAAGAAGCATAGTAGTAATTTCGTGGAGGGCGGTGATCAACCGGACCCGAGATGCTGCTCACTGCCTTCTTTTCTTCCTTGACAGATGCAAGGAGGTACCACATGACGGGTGAAGGGTTCTCCAATCTGAACTCATCTGGGCTCGTGCATCGCTAAACCTAGTCCTGGGGGGGAGAGGCTCGTGCAGTCCAAGACCTCGTATATGCCCCTGCCCCCATGTTGGTGCATGCTCTGCGCCCATCCTCATGCCCAGTACGTGCGGTATAATACCAGAAAACCACACTCAGGCATGTAAATGATGTGTTGCAGGCATTTGAAGAAGGGTTGAAGCCCAAAAAATGGCGCTAGGGAAGGTGAGAATGCAGGTCACGCAATGTAATGCCGGTGTCGTTTCCTTGATGGGAGTTGGCAGTTGGCAGTTGCGAGATTCCAAAATGGTCCAAGTTCAACGTCGTCTCCCTGGATGTGTCTGTGTAGGTGCAGTCCCGGATGCTGCGGTGGCCACTGCCACTCCGCTGGAATCTTCATGTCAGTGTGACAATGCAGTGTCGTCGGTCATCGGAACTAACACTGCCCTCACAACTTTGTGTTCCATTTGGTTACCTGATCCAAGAAACTCTGACTTGAGAAATTTCCAGTGGCTAACAGGAAACTCAAGGAGATTCTCGCATTTGCACTCACTCGAGTCCTCTTCCTCGTTTTCAACTCTGACATTTGTCATCGAACACAACCTGTCAATCTAGCATCGGCACACTTGACACGCCCCCCACAATGACCAAGAAAACCATCCTCGTCACCGGTGCCACCGGCCAACAAGGCGGTGCCGTCATTGACGCCCTCATGGACCTCGACAAGTCCGGCGAGAAGTTCTCCATCCTCGCCGTCACCCGCAAAGCCGACAGCCCTGCTGCCCTTGACCTCGTCAAGCGCTACCCGCGCGTCAAGCTGGTCGAAGGCAACCTCGAGAATGTGCCGGCCCTCTTCGAGTCGGCCAAGATCATCGCAGGCGATCAGCAACTCCCCATCTGGGGCGTCTTTTCGGTTCAAGTCTCCATGGGTCCCGGCGTGACCTTTGACGGTGAGGTCAAGCAAGGCAAGGCCCTCATTGACGGAGCCATTGCCAACGGTGTTCAGCACTTTGTGTACAGCTCTGTTGAACGCGGCGGCGATGCCAGAAGCTGGGAGAACTCGACGCCTATCCCGCACTTCCAGACCAAGAAGATAATTGAGGATTATCTGAATGCGACGTGCGGCAAGCAGCCTGGATCCAGGATGGGCTGGACTATTCTGAGGCCCGTGGCGTTCATGGACAACCTCAAGCCCGGCATGCCGACGAGCCTCTTCTTGACTGCGCTGAAGAACCACTTGGGAGAGAACAGGAAGTCTCTGCAGTGGATTGCGGTGCACGATATCGGAGTCTTTGCAGCCAAGGTGTTTGACGCCCCGGAGGACTGGAATCACACGGCGGTCGGGCTGGCGGGGGATGAGTTGACGATTGAGCAGCTCAGCAGGGCCTTCTCCAAGGCGACTGGGTATCCGATGCCGCTGACGTACTCGTTTGCCGGAAGTCTGTTGACCTTTGTTGCCAGGGAGCTTGGCTTGATGATTGGCTGGTTCGCGAGCGAGGGCTACAAGGCTGACATTGAGGCGAGGAGGAGGGACCACCCGGGCATGTTGACGATGGAGCAGTGGTTGCTGACGAAGAGTCACTTTAGCACGGGGGTTGACGGCGCGCAGATTGGAGCTTGAGGCATCGTGGCTTGATGTGTATGTGGCAGAGGGAGGAAGAGATGGTGGGAGAAGCGATGAGAGTAAAAAAACGAAAGGGAAGACAGAGGGGTTGGGGACGAGGAGGGGCACCAGAATAAACACTCCACTTTATGTGTTGTTACCAATCTTTATCGTTATTGCTCCAGGTTATAATAACCAATTGACTTTTTGTTTTTCTAACTCTACCTCGTCGTAGCTGATTCCCTCTAGGCTTCAACAATGTCACCGTCGTCTGAATTGTCTCTTTCCTCGGTTGTCCCCAGGCTGTCCCCTGCCAAGATCACCGTTTTTCCAGGTACAGCCAATAAGAGGGGGTGTTATTGACCAATACGGAAGGTGGGGCACCTGCGACACGAACACAACCCCTAACAGCACCCCCTGAGCCCCTACACTTGTAGGGCTTCGAGACGCCCAGCCAAACCACCACAAGGGGCCTCGCGATCTGGCGATGCTACCATGTCTAACGCCTCCTGTTGCAACATCACCCCTCTAAGATGTCGCTTCGGTTGGGGATTAGCCGCCTGTCACCACCCTGTCACCGTTCCGTCAAGTTACCCTCGGCTCCCGCTTGGGCTCAAGCGCTGGAACTGTCATTCTGGAACTGAGTGTTTCCGGCTTCAAGGAGATCGCTCAACCCGGGGCTGTCAATCTGGAGATCTTGATCACTCCTTCAGGTACCACGGACAGGGGCCTCGGTACCGTTTCCGAATGTCTTCCCTAACCGAACTCAAGCTGTTACTCCAACTGATAGGAGGTCTGGTAACATTGCAAACTTGACCCTTACTTCCCCTCCTGGGCATTTGGTATAAAGTCAGCTTTTTCCCGTCATGTCCATCACTCACCTCCCTCATCAACACACTCACCTCCCTCATCAACACACTCACTCATTCATTCATACAGCAATCTTCAGTTCATCAACCGCCGGCCGGTCCTTTCATTCTACATCCCACTTCTCGTCAACAACCAGCTAGCCTGTCCTAATACCCACTACTGCCATTACCAATATCATCAACAACCACTCAAACTCCAAAATCGCCAAAATGAAGTTCACCATCCTCACCTCCCTCTTCTTCACGGCTCTCTCCGTCAACGCCGCCGTCATCGAATCCGACACCTCGGTTCTCCGCCGCGACATCTTTGCCCGCCAAAACGCCGGCCGCCCCGTCCCCAGTGGTACCTGCTGCGTCGCCAACACCAGCTTGAAGCAGGATGTTTGCAATGTCAATGGCCAGACGGGGAGGTGTGTGCCTGCAAGCGTCAACAACTGTGAGTACTTCCTTCCAAACTGTGACTGTTGGTCGACGATGAGAGATGGGAAATAGAAAGAGAAGAACGGAATGCTAATCACGACATGATGATGAATAGGCGGCGAGCGATTGACGTGCATTGAGGACTCGAGGTTGACTTGCAACGCCAAGGTGTTGGAGAGGGGAAGGCCTTTGTGCAGACTTCGCCAGGGTGCGTAAGGGGTTGAACTTCGAGGATAATTGATGGGTATGATTCATTCCTGGAAGGACTGGCAGTGGGAAAAGAATTGAGTTGGGATAGCTATCATCACTGAGTCGCTCACATGGACTCGTGAAAACAAAAAAGAAGTGGGATTTTTTACCTCAATTTGGTTTTCTTACTGTGGTGAACAACGCTTCCCAGGACCATCACTAGGACGGGCATCATCTCCCTCGTAGATCCAAACTCCCCCTCACACTTACTCGCCGAAGACGAACCGGTCTTTTTGAACGCACCCTACGTTCAACACACCTTTGTGGGCAAGAAACCAAACCACAGCCAGGGACCGCCCGTGTCGAAAGGCACCTCTTTCGACCAACTAGGCATCAGCCTCCTCTAACTTTGCTTCGGAAAGCGCCTCAGGGACCAATCCTGCCGACGGCGGTACGAAGACAAAATCGCCGCGCCCAACGACCATGTACGGACACTTCATTATGTGTTGGCGGCGGCAAGGGACTGGCAAGATAAGGTGCTGAACATCAAAGATCATGCCTGAATTTCATCTGCTATTCACCCCAGGACGGGTATTCCACGTCATCTGCCACAACCACCAGATTGCCAACCATCAGCTCTGGCCATTGCACCGTAATTCCAACGCCAATATCCCTCAAGCGCAAGGCATCCTCCCATGAACACGAGGACGAACTCCCTTCGTACCGCCTCGCTAACCCCTCATCTTCCAACAACCCCGCTCCTTGGGAGCAATTCACCGGCTTTCTGCCATCAGACTTCGCTCTTCCCCGCCCCACGGCGCCGCGCTGTCGACGGAAAGCTGGACGTCATGGATGCGAAGTTGGATGAGCTTCGCTCGTGGAGAGGATGATGAGTAGATAGCGTGTGGTGGTGCCGGCTTGTTATGTCGATGGGCGCGGTAGCGCGCAGGAGTGTTCCTCCTGAGGTCGTAGGTCTCAATCCCACATCGACCATAGCTGGTGCTGCCGGGGGATCGTTTCGTAGCGGGTTAGTGATGGACATGGTGGTTACGCCCCTTCTAGCGCTCCGCTCCTCTCAACCTGCTTCCGATGTCATTGTCGCGCACTCGACCATGTAGCGGTACATCGCAGCTCAACCGCAGAAGCGTATCAAGCTCGTTGACCATTCCGGTCTTGGCCGCGACGACTTTACTGTCTTAACGCTGACTGGCAATGATAGCCATGTCTTCAGAACCGAGCACGGAAGCCTCAACTAAACGTGTTTGCGGCATATTATCCTGCTCCTGCCTCTGTCTTTCCCTCTCTTCTTCGATCTCCCTCAGTAGCTTCTCGGCCTTCTCTGCCTTCTCCCGAACCTCCCTCTTTAGAGGTAACCATCTTCGCGTCATCTTCGGCCCTTTTCTTCAAGTCTCTGGTAACCCTGGCCAGCTGCTCTTCAGCGTTTTTTTGGCCTTTTTTCCAACAGATGAACTTGGGGTGGAGGACACATCACTTGTAACCCCACTCATACTCGTTCGATAACGCCCAGGGCCTAGAGCGGGACTGCTGCAAGATCTCCATTGCATCGCGGCTGAAAATGTAAAGTTGTGGATCCGCCTTGTTGCAAATTCCAGTACACTGGAACTTATGGAACTCGAAGGGTTCGGTCATTGTGACCGGGAGCTTTACGTTCTCCCATAGCATGGCTGCGAACGCCTTCATGTCCTGGACGCTGTTGAGAGGTAGCGGGGTGGCAGAACAAGATACGTTCGGTGGATTCGCGCGGGATTTTGCGAATCCACCGCCAGACGGCGCTCTCGCCGTTGCGTAAGAACTGCGCTTCGTCTGCAATAACGCTGGTCTTTGCTCCCTTTAAAAAAGCAAACAAGACGATAGGCCGGATCTTAAGTCAAGATGAAAGGTATCTCGACGACACAAAAGAAACATCGGATAGACGTGTCTCGGACGTGGATAGAAGAGCGGGAACATATTGGCTGGATGGTAGGGGAATTCTTGGATAACCGGGTGTCATGAACGAGTTCTTCCCTATCAGCTTGAGGTCATGAGGCAGTGAGCGGCCGATGTGAAGAGAAGCCAGAGGACCCTCATGAGGCTTATAAAGAAGGTGCTGAGTGGGGGACAACTCGTTCGTGCTGGATTGTTGCATTTTGAGTTGTCAGCCGGGCCGTCCAAAAGATCTGAATCTGTGAATGTCCATCAATGAACAGATCTTGGCCGATGTGCCAGTGTTAGGCGGGCTGGTGCTCGATTGCCCGCTACATGTCTGGCGGGCCTTCGTTAGCCGCAGTGCTCGCGTCTCCGCCACGCCCGGCCGTCCAGCCCGCTCCTCGGCCCGCTGCCCGGCCCGCTGCCCAGCCCGCGCCTGCTTCGAAACAGGCGGCTTTGACCCAATTCGGGGTCACGGGGGCCACCCGTGCCCCAATCACGGCACACACCCGCGCCCCTAGGGGCAAGAAGCCAAAGATTTTGGTCTCGGCCAACAATCGCCCGATCGGCGATTTTTTTCAAGCCGGCCCGCCAGGGCAATGACCCTCTCCCCGCCGCCGCCAGTCCCTCCTATCTTTCCCTGGCTCCCTCCTCTCCTCTCCGCTCCGTTCCCTCTCCTCTCCCCACCGCCGCCAACCCCTCTTCTCCTATCCAGCCTCCCTCTCCTCTCTCCGCCGCCGCCGCCGCCGCCTCCCCCCTCTTTTTTCTTCCGCCTCCCACCTCTCCTTCTTACCCCCTCCCGGCCTCGTCTTTGAGGAAGCATCCTCGGCCGGAAGATGAGGACGACAGGAATGATGAGGCAGAGGACGACGATGAGGACGAGGGGCCACAGCCGGTCAATATTTTGGAAGAGAGCTAGAACTTCTTTTCCCATTCAAAAGACCGGACAAGCCGGAGCGTCAAGGGCGGGATATTCGAAGACAGGTACGTCATTATCCCGTTCGGAAGACGTTGGGGAGACGCAACGGAGTATTCGTACCCATATCCACTATCACTACTTGAGAAACTTCCAGTCCTCATGGCGCCTGTCTTCCCCAGATACTTTTCTCTCTTGCAGGCATCATAGAAGTGGCTCAGTGTATTGCACACTGGGCAACCGGGAATGTCTCCGTTGGGCGACGCATAACCACAGTCACGAAGCTCATGAGTGCGGTGGTGTGCTGTACGGTATTGCCGTCATCGCTGATTGTATCTTGGATGCTCGAGTGTAGGACCCACCACCTGTAGCCCTACACCTCGCTGATCTCCCGTAGTTGGTCAAGCATGGTGTTGGATATTTCGGGGTCGATAATGCATGAAGGTTTAATCCGGTCGTACGAAAATCTTGCTCGATGCGAATACATTCTTGAGTGGCGCCAAGATCTTGGGGTTCTCGAATCGCTGGACATTCTCGTTGTACAAGAGCGCAATGGTGGCCCCTAAGGAACTAATGTCCATTTTTGGGACGTCGCAGCCCTTGAGATTTTTACCAAGCTTCAGGAGCTCGGTATTAAGCCCCTTGGTGATGTGCCGTTTTTCACCCAATTGGTGGAACACCGAGGAGCAAAGTTGAAAGTACGCTAAGTTAGCCATGCGTTTTTCCAAAGTGACAACGCGCTGCGGGAGTTTGGCTACCGCTGTTTCTAGCTTTTTGCTAAAGCCGTCGGCACCAACAGCTCTAAAGCCAGCACGGAAAAGTTCCACCGCGTCATGTTGACCCTTGAGTAGGGTAAAGACCTTGGAGAGGTTTGCTCCCTTCCAGATCAGAGTGGTAAAGGCCCTGATGTCTGTGATCCGCTCACTCCCGATTCTTGATCCCAACGACAAAGTATAGAATATCTACGCCCTTGTAATAGAGAAACCAAACTGTCCTCCCAAACTCTACATGGGCTCAGGCACCAAGAATAGGTAAGTATGGTGTGAGAAAGGGCTACGAGGTTAGGAACTCGAAAACCAAATGCCCCATCTCGCCCAATGTACCCTCAATATCTTACAACGTATGATGTCGCGTATGATGTCCATCAAAGCGACCTACATCACACCGCTGCCGCCCTTTCATCTCGGGTCACAGCTGTCTTGTCCTCCGGCAGCGTCCCGATAAAGAACGTCTGAACGACGGAGTGTCCTCAAAAGGTGGAGTGAATTCGACGAATAACTGTAGATCTGGTGATGGTTTGCTATGCTCTCCTTTCCCAGACACTAGACATTTTCCTGCTATTCCCCCTATAGCTCGTGTCCACCTCTTCCTCATGTGACCTGGCACGACCTGACACCACCCAGCGTCAAGCTTCCCCCTTGAGAGCTGGAATTATCGTCCCCAACCACTCCTCGTCTTCACCTTCAACATATTTGAGCAAAAAACACTGAGACTTCTGCTCCCAAGAAGCTCATGGCCAAGGCGCCAGCAAGTCAGGATGGCAGGCCAAAGCAGGTCCTCGCTACAAAGACCCAGACCGCTGCTCCCAAGAAAGCTCATTCCACCCAAGTTGTGCCAAGTGGGCGCACAGCGGTCCAGGCCATCGGCACACCATCTTCAGAAGTCGAATGCGGCGATGATGTTGTTTGCCTCCATGGGAAGCCCCCATGCCCGCCACCTTCTGCCCCTCCTCCGGCCGACGACTGGCATCCTGTGCCATATTGAGACCACAGCAATGATGACACCGGAGAGCAACTGACCCATTAACACGAGCGGGCAGAAGATGGGATCTTCGTGGTGTGATGTTTCGGAAAAGATTGTCGTGGAAAGGGATTGACCTGCTAGTTCCGCGAAGCCTCCCGTATCACCATCGGTCCTATGGACGGAGAGCGCTACCCCTGTGAAGTCTATGAACGCGGCGGACGCAGATTCGTGTTCATCAACGACGGCCTATGGGCCCGGGGAAGGATTGCAGTGACATCAACTCTGGTGTTTCGTGTCGGTAACGGCGATGTCCGAGATGGCGGTGCGTGTTCCAAAACCTCAAGGCGGATGTGGGCTTTTGGCAGAAATTGCCAACGATTTGCTTTGTAACTTTGTCGGCAGTTTCGTATTCACTCATGCCGTAGCACGCAAGAACCAGAAACGGTAGTTGTGTTTGTGGGTCAGATTGCTTGTGCCCTTGCGATGTATGGCTTGTTTATCGAGGAGACTGTTGGCGCAGTGATCAGTTAGTGCTCTTCAGAACAATGCGACATGGTGGGAAGAAGTGGCATACTTTTCTGGAACTGGTGTGTCCCAGGTCCTGTCCGTATGTGTTGTCAAACAAAACACCAGTTAGGTGCTGTAGACCTCGCCGTCTTGTCGTTTCGTTTGAAGTGTTTTGGGCGAAGGATGTTTACGCCGTATTGAAAGATCCATCGAGGTCCAGCCTCTGCCTCTTAACACGCTTTTCCATCTCGCCTCTTCCGTTCCACGATCTCTTGTTCCTAGCAACAGGTCGTGGAGCTGAAGAGTCACGTGTCTTTGGGTCCTTATTGACAGCCGATTCCCAGTCGGCATACTCAAGTCGAAACCAGTAGTCGACATCTTCGAGATCGGAAGGGTGGTGGAGGACCGGGCTGGAACCTGCTGAGGAGGAATCGACTTCGACCAGGTAAGGGATCGCGGCACCGTCTGGGTGGAAATCGTATTCCACGTCGTATACTGGTGCCATCTTGCCGGTTCTCTTGGGGGTCGTTGTGGAAACTAGAGGCCGATGAGGTGGCTGTGGCGAGGGAGCTTGTCTTGGGACAAGGGAGGAAATTGAGGAGGTGTGACAGGGTCAAAAGAATACATATATTAAAAAAAAAAGAAAAAAAGAACAGATTTGAGTCTCGGGTTCTGCTTGGCTGCCTTGCAGAATGCAGATGTGCATGCTTAGCTCATCAAGGTTCTCAATGGGGGCAGCGGAAGGAAAGAGGGCTTCAGTCCCGCTCCTGCTGTGGCAACGAAACAGAATGAAGAAGAAGGTTGTGGAATAAGAAAGAAACAATCATGATCCATCCACTCACACCCAACGAATCCATTTATATCCAATCCTGATCTTTCCCGTTAATACGAAGGGCGGCGTATCTTCGTCGTCGGCGGGGTCGACGAATGGCCGGCTCTTAGATGCCTCTCCGGTTCTTTTGTACAAGGCGATGGTATGCCTTGCCGCAGGCGTACTCAACATTTCACCCTGTTTGCCTACGAGGAGCTTCATCTTTCTCTCGACAATCTCTTCAATGAGTTCATTCTTGATCCCTTTGTCCTCAAGGGTTACCTCGACCTTCCACTTGTTTTTCTGGGCGAGCTCGTTGGCGCTCTCGACACGCCGCTTGATCTCCGCCCTAGAGGCCCCCACCGCGTACCTCGCAAATCGCTCGATGAGCAATTTGGCTTGTCCCGCCATGTCATCAAACTGGCCGGACACATCCTCGCGACTTGCCAGGTTGCTGTTTTTGAGCGGTAACGCTGGGCATGGCCACATGATTTGCCGCCTTGGACTTTTGGGGGACAGCATGGGTAACTGTCGGTGACTCTTTGGCGTGAAATTATTCCGCGCCCGGCCTAGAGGCTGACACGGTTGACGGGGTGTCGAGAGGTGGCGGTGGGTTTACGCCGTACTCAAATTGTTGGGCGAGGTTGGCGGCATGAAGCACGAGCAGGGGCGCTTGGCGAGCAATATGCTCTGAGCTTTGGAGCTCAGTAAGGTCTTTCCTATACCCTCTTGAACTCCGGGCATTTCCTGTCAAAGCCTGGCTATCTAGGAAGAGTGCATTTGGCCGGGAATTAACTGTGTGCTCTCTGATGGTCTGGTTTGATGGTCTGAAGATTGCTGGTCTTGATGTCTTGTCACAGCCGGGTTCCGTACACTTGAAAGGCACGCTTTTCGGTACCTCTACCGTGTGCTGTCCCCCCGGTCACCACACTCCCGAATACCCCGACCCCTTCAAATCAAGGAATACATTCCAACTACAACCGTAGTCAAAGAAACGTACTTCAGCCTGGATTGGAATACCGACCCCAAACTCAGCACAATCCTCAGCTCCCCAACCCCTTCCACTTTGTCGACATTGAAATCATCAACCGAATTCTCCTACCAAGATAAGAAGGCTTCTGCCCGCGATGTTCCGTGTCCAGTTGGGAGTCATGGCCGATTAGTTCTCAGCCACTGCCACCGTACAGCATTGCTGCGGAGGCGAAGAGAGCGCAAGAGAGGTTTTCCGGCATGTAATGGATCAATAATTTAAAAAATTGTTTACAGAGTTTCCGGGCTTATACAGATAGATCATAGAGATGATCAGGTGTGTCTACCCCTACTGAATTACACTTGCTTCCTCACCCTATATATCTGTTCCGTTGTCTGACGGTCCAAGTGCTGCTGGTTCCTGACTAATGGTCGCAGTCAGGTTTTGGACTCCGCCAAGCAAACCATTCACTCACGTTTTGCTTGCTACACCCATCACTCCCAATCACCAAGATACCACACCTATTTCATCCCATCCAGACAGCAGTGTCCCTTCACTGGAGCGATTGAAAAGTGAATTCTCCTTCGACGGACCATTTGTTTGCTCAGATCTCCCTTCCTTCCCTCCTCCATTTCCCAAACTTCCAATCTCGACAACACACGATATCCCAACAGCATCATCCAAGCAACCTTTTATCTCAATACTTTTCCCGTTTGACAATCAATTTTCTCACCAAGACTGCGCCTTGTTTCAGTTCTCCTTATTCCAACTCCATCGATATCAACTCTTCCAAACACCACAGCCACTCATTCACCTCTCAAGCCAGTCCATCATGTCCTCCACACGCTCTTCTCATGCTTCTGCTACTCACCATGCCGACAACCACGACTTCGACCCCGTTCTCAAAGATCAGGACAATGATTCTCTAGAGGAAGGCGAAAGTAAGTTGATCTCCCCACCTTTGCCCATGCATTATTCCCTGGACGGAGGCTTACGCATACGACCGGTATCAGTGAGAATGACTATCATGTTCTGGGTGACGCGGTCCGTTTGTCGTGTGTGCGGCTAGATAGAGCCAAGGACAATGAATAAATCCGATGGGGAGACAGGGTAGGAGGCAGCAGCGGATGAGGTAGGCTAACGCCGCCATCACCGTTGCCCTCCCTACGCCTCAGCCATCTTGATTTTCAACCGACAGCTCGTCTCGCTACAGCATCACCGGCCAGAACCCTTTCACCGACCCCATATGCGCAGAGGGCGTTTCGACCAAAACCAACCATCGGCATTTCTCAACATGCCCGGTTAAACGCAATCGTCCAATCCTAACTTTACCTACATACCATCTTAGCATTCCTAAATGCTACAGACAAATGTTGATTTGGGGTGGTTAGTTCTTTTTTGCTTTTTTCTTTATTTTTGCTTTGAGTCTCTCGCTCTAGTATGGAATCCCTCAGGGGCAGATAAGTGGAGGTATCAGGGTCTTGGTCTATTGTCTACTAGGGAGCAGATCTATTGTATCGGTCGAGAGGTACCCTGGGAATATAATAACTAAAAGGATATAAGGAGGAGATCCTAAGTTGGGAGTAAGGAGGGAAGGATAGGAATTCAAGACTAGACAATACTCTTTCTTAAAAATAGATTAAGAAATCCCGCTCTAGACTATAGAATCATCATTGAACGTCCCAATAACAGTAAGCCTAACATCCCTTTTAGAGGAAAACTAACTTCTAGATTTGTTCCTCTATTCTAAGGCTCGATAAAGGGAGTCTCGCTCTCCCCTTTGACCTTTAATAGAGGTTAACAAACTGTGGTTTTGCTACTCTATCTCAATCCCTAAGGACGAAGGCCATGACCAACTCCAGATCCGCTCCTCTCTACATTTTGGTGTAGTAGGGTGCTTTTCGTGTTGGTGTGGTTTTTGCTCCATTTCAATGTCAAAAGGACTGGGCCCTGAACGCGGCCAGGCGGACAACCTTTGTTCTATCCACCGCCCCTTCTGTCTCCAACGCAACGACACCAGCAAGAAAGAAGACACCGAGAAACGTTCCTCTTCCCCCGGCCCAACCTCTCGTCAGATTTTCTTTCTCTTCAACATCGTTAAGAGCTTTGTTTTTTTTGGTGCTCTTTTTGGTTAAGAAGACACCAACATTGGTTTCAAATTTCATCCAATCACTTTCATTTCATCCGATCACTCTTTTTTTCCATCACTTTTCTCATCTTTTTTTCAGCATCTCATCCCATCACGCCCTCATGTCCGACGAACCGCAGACAGAGTCTGTCTTCCTTTTTTGGCAGACTCTATACGCCCTCGCCATGCCCAAGCTGATCATGGTCGCAGTTTTGGGTCGTCGTCTTCTGCGCCAACATGGTAGTCGTCTTCCCTGTGGGGTGGGGTGCCACCCACCTCCCGAAGAGTTGCTAGGTGATGCGAGATTGGTGGGCTACTACTGCCGCAACACCAAACTTCTACCTCTTCCGCCTCCCGCCCGCTTCCTCCTTCTGCGCCTGATTCGTTTCTTCCGACATGAACTGTGTCAACTTTGCTACTGGATCTTTTCAGCAACTTCGGTTGTTGGAGATACTCTCCGACTCCGACTCGCGTTTCTGAGTACCATCAAATTGCCTTCATTTGGCGTTCAGTGCTCTGGATCCCGACTATTGACTTCGAGGGCTCACTCCGTTACCTACATCACCACCACCATCATCCCCAGTCACAATGGCTCCTACAACCCGTCACATCGAGGGCTATGTCACTCAATTACCTACATCCCCAGACAACTACCATACTAAGTTACAATGGCTCCCACAGCTACACTGTCACTCCCCGAGGTTTCGTTCCTCCCTCGTCAAGCCACCCCCGAGATCAAAAAGTCGATTCTTCCGGTCCCTGCCGTTGGCATCTCAGCAACTTCAGCGAGCCCGCGCCTGATTCAGATGATGAAGACAGTTCGATGTCTTGACGACAATGCTCTCGATTGTTAGAGGTATCTGGGCCTCAAAACTACAATTCTCTGATCATCTCTCTCTTCAAGTTTTGTTTGGGCCTCAACACCATCGCTGGTTTTGCCTCTTCTGTTTCTTCTCCGAGTAGCCCGTCGCCATCGCCGCTATTCCTTCCCATCCAGTCGGCGAGTTCTGACGCCGTGAAGCCTCATAACAAGCAAGTCAAAGGCAATAGGCATGCGAGTGATGAGTCTTTTGCGTCCAATGACTCAACACATCACGCTTTGCTTCACGCCTTGTCCTTTCAGTCATCTTTCATGCTTGACGGCGGTTGTTCGCTTGGCCTCCTCTCTTCTTTGATGCTTGCATCATATCTCCCACTCTTTGCTTCTCGTCAATCACGCCTCTCTTACATCCACGCACGCACACATCTTTCGCAGTCACCTTTTCTGTTGATGACTATGTTTGCCGGCTTTTCCATCTTGGTCATTTACCTCCAAAAGCTTCTCACCAAACAATGGCATCCAAACATAAAAGAGATAGAGAAAGCCCGGTATCTCCCTTCGTTCTTGCTCTGCGCGTCTCTCTTTTGTGATCTATATATATATTTACCCGTTTCTGTTTACCGCCTTCTCAGAATCCCCAAATACTATACCAAAATGGATCTAACACACAAGTCTCCTCTAGTTGACGAGAGTACCGAAAACACGGCCATCGTAGAGGACTCCTCTGCTGCCAACCCCAGCGTCACGTCCAACATCCCCTCAGCTGGCCCAGTGGTCGTTCCGTCATTCGTCGCCTTCGGTCAGGCTGTTCCGTTACGTCCGTTTCCCGCCAGCTTCAGCTTGACCCTTCCTCCCTCCCGGCCCTTGGCCCTCCAGCAGCCATTCCCATTTTTTCAACTGCCGCCAGAGATTCGTAATATCGTGTATGGCGCCCTGCTCACTTCGGAAGAGCTCATCGTTCCGCACAACACCTTACCGGTACCCACTTTCCATTATCAGGCCCAAGATGCCCGTAGAGCGGCCGGTCCACTCTTCCACACCTTCCCAACCTTGTTGCGGGTATCTCGGGAGTTCGCCCGCGAGGCTGCGATGATCTTCTATACCACCAACACCTTTCACCTGGACTTGGTACATCACAGGGTGTGGCTGGTAAGGATCACAAGGCCCAACTCGTTCAACATTAGACACTTGAGAATCAAATGTTATCAAGAGTCTGATAGGAACAGGGAAACGGAAGCCTGGATTGCGAAGCTCGTGAACATGGGAAACACCATCACGAAGCGGTGCCGGGGGTTGATGAAGCTCGAAATACAGTTTGGGCGACTGTGGATCGGAACAGAAGAAGGCGGCGAGGTAATGCCCGCACGACAATGTCTTCGACTGGTTGTTGAAAACGAGGCCATCGTAACGGCTTGGAGAACAAACAGTTTGTCAAGGCTCAAAAGGATAACTGTTTCTATCCGTGAGGAGTGGCAGCATACCGAATACCTGGTCGGTCTCTTAAGGCAGTTGGCTGGCAACGTCAAGAGAGGCGTTGTCGTGGAGGGTATACATGTCGCCACGGTAAACAGATACAGATTACCAGGTGCGTCGCCACAGGAGAATCATTATACCCAGGTAGACCAGGAGCGGAAGTTCTTTGAGGGGAGGTATGACAGGGAAACAGGAACTGTTGCGACCCAGGTGGTCCCATGGGAGATACCAGCGGGGTGGCCCACCGTCTACCGCCGCGGCCATGAATAGAACTTTGCCGTGACTTTGGGGCACTGGGTTTATGGGCTTGGGGACTTGTTGTGCAAGCGCCAACTTGGAGTTTGGATGGCCAATAGAATCTGAAAAGCGGGCAATTGGGGAGGATGGGGGCTATGACCAGAACAGCACAGGTAGTCAAATAAGAAGAAAGAATACTGTCAGCTAGTGATGATTGTTTTAGATTGATTCCAGGTGACCCCAATTTTTGCGTGTGTGCTAAGGCGAACAAAGCAGCTTGATCCTGGACTAAGACCTCAACAATGAAGAAACGGCTGTTCGTGTGTGGCTTATGGTGATGTTATTCGGCACACTTGCGATGAGTTAATACTGCAGTGTCAGTCAAACGATAATTATGAAGAGGAAATGAGAAGACATTGGAGTGATGCCATCTTCCAGAAGAGCCCTAGGCCAACTAATCAATGGCAAAAAAACAAAAAAAAAAGAAGAACAAGGAAGCTCCGTCATCAGAACTGAAGACAAAACATCAAGAAACGTCCAAGGGAGTGTCGGCCATGAACATTCTCTAGCTTTCTATCTCCAGAGGTGTGAGGCTTGAGCACTCCGACACGGCTCTTGTGAAATCACATTCGCTTGGACCGCTGAGATTGGGATGAGTAGGTGCGGAAAGTAGACAGAGGGGTAATAGGAGGGCGAGAGACGGCTCCAGATAGATGGACTGTACTTGGTGAGTGCTATTAAGCGTAGGCAAATACATCACCGACACGGACTGACTGACCGAAACGTCCATAGACATGTTTGTTCGTAGTGATGGCCGCCACTTGACGGTAGAAAGGGCAGGTGACGGTATGAAACTGAGAGGAACAATACTTGGGACGGAGCGCCATAAACGTGGGCTTGAATCCGCTGCTGTGGAAAATCTTCCAATGGAAGATGAAGGCAGAAAAGATGAGAACGGATAACGAGATGAAGCAAATCCATAATTGTCTTTCAACTGTGGTGGGTTGGGGAGTCTGTGACATGTGATGCGACCAGAAACCAGGATGAGGACATCGCGGGAGGTGTGTTGACTGGGAAATGTTATCCATGAAGACCGATAAGGTACAACGTTGAGGAGCAAAAGATGAAAACAAGAGGAAGAAGAGAAGCGGCTCAATTGAAATTTGTGACCTCCTCCCGCCGACATCTTCCTTGTACTGCAGTGCACGACGCAGAAAGGGATTGACGACCCGACGTGCAGGAGCGAAGGACAACTACCTGATCTCCGCCATACGGAAAATCACATCTTGGCGGAAGGAGCAATCATGAAGAGAACGGGACATTGGGGCAGTACACCTCGTTTCTGTATAATGAAACAAACATTACTGGTAATTAATTGTGGCTACTGAAAACTACTAAAGATCATCTCAATCACATACCTCGTTTCTTCCTGGCTCGTGTCACGGTTTCTGTATCAAGTTGTATTACCAATCAATTCCTCCTCCACGAACCTACAACGCAGGACACTCCCCCGTCAACCACCAATTGATGGCTGCCACCAACCCAGCAACCTCCCCATCGCCGTCAAAGGCATCAACACTCACCACATTCGGATACGTCTGCCTCGTCATTCGGCCCTGCGCCCACAGCTTCTCTCCCAACGCCATGTTGGCATCTTGAGCATACTTGACGATACTCCCGATGATCGTAGTCTCGGGCGGCTGCGTCAGCGTCCAGCTCAGCAAAAACATGGCATCATCCGCCTTGGTGCGATGCGTCTGCATCTTGGCGAACTGGTCGCTGATCATGTCGTTCAGGTTGTTGGTGTCGGCATACGAGTCAAAGATGGCGAGCTGGCCGCGGAAGAAGAAGCCCTGGTTGGCAAACTTGGAGAGATCGACGCGTTGGTTGTTGTCCGAGGTGATGTCGTCGACGACCAAGAGAACAGCCGAACCGCGGCGGGAGGCATCACCATTATCGGAAGGCGGGAGCAGATCGGAGAGAGAAAGGTAAGTAAGGTCGATGTTAGGCTGGGTGATGTGCGTGGCCCGGTTCTTGACAGCCAGCAGCTGCGTCATCAGCTTCTCCCACTCCTGCTGGCTAAGATGGGCATTAGGGTCACGGGAAAAGGTATCCGTGTTGAGGCCATGACTGAGGTTAATCACCACCAATTCCCCCGGGTTCTGTTCCGTGAACTCGTTCACCTCCCTCACGATATCCGCAATATACTGCCCATTCCCGCCCTGCCACCCTTCCAACACCATCTCCTTATCTCCCCCGCCCAACTTCCCAATCTCCTTGGCCAAATCACCCAACCCCGGAATCTTATCCAATCCCCCCGGCAACTTGATCCCGTTGAAAAACGTATAATGCCCCGTCGCCCACTTCCCGCCCGCAATCACCGGGCGCACATCAAACCACCTTGCTCCCGCCTCCAGCTGCTTGCCCACCGTCATCTGACTAGCATGGCACTGCACCGACTCCGGCCTGGCCTTCACCAGGGGCGTACCGCCTGTAAGCAACGACATTCCACTATTATGCGTTCCGGGCAGGCTGATCTCTCTCAGCTTCAAACAATGCATCCTTTCATACCCCTGCTTCATCCACCCCGCCGTCGGCAAGCCCGGGCTAGCCATCAACTCTTTAGCCGGATCGAAGTTCGTGTTCTCAGCCGACGGCGCAGCAGCCAACACAAAAGGAACGTTATTCCCCTGATGCCAAACCAACTTCCGCACCGAGCCAACGGGGTTATTCACGGCCGCCAAACTCTTCCACGCTACCTGTAGCACGGGACCGTCCCGGCCGCGGTACTGGAACTCGACTTCCCTTCCGCCCAGTTCGTCAACGACATACCTCATCTCCGCTGCGTCATCCTTGTGCGTCTTGGCTTCGATGTAGACGCGTACGCTCTCTCCTGGTTGCACGAGATCAGGAAAGGAGTTATCCCACGCGGGCATCTGGTAGGAATGCCCGCCTGTCCTGCGCAGAGTGAAGGGCGTGGCGTTGATGAGAAGCAGGTAGGCTTGGTTCTTCTGGAGGACCGATTGGGCAGACGAAGAAAGGGTGGAGATGGTGTTGAGACCGGTCGGGTCGGAGCTGGGGGTTTTCAGGTCCAAGTGTTGGGCGGCGTTGGGAGGGTTGGTGGTGAGGTGGGTGAGGAAGGCGGTGACGGAGTCGAAGAGGGGGGCGGCTTGGACGACTGCGGTGCCGGTCAAGGCGAGTGCTGCTATGAGGGGCTTGAGTGGGAGCAGCATTTTGGTTGTTGTGGTTGATGTTGAACAAGTGAGGGGACTAACTGGGGTCAGCAGCTGGTGAGGTATAAGAACCCCTTCGGCGACCGAGTGAACCTTTTAGATCTGAAGGTTAGTTTTGACCTCTCGAACCCAGACAAAGATTCAGAAGAAGATATACCTTTGCTCTTTATCGCAATTCGCACCGACACTTCCCAGTTTTACTACCACCTACTCCAAGTGGAAGTTCACCTGAAGTGAAGTGAGTGACTGAGACAGTCTCAAGTTGTTTGTGTCGAACCAACCCCAAAGGCCCAAACTTCAACTTCAGCCTCTACTCTGTAACTTCGTTATTTCTCGAAGCCACAACAAACGAATTGTGTCACTTCAAGAAAACCGAAGCCGAAACCAACAGAGGAGGGGAAAAAAAAAATCACATCTTGAAAGGCGGAGGAGGAGGAGGGAACCACCCCCTTTTCGTTTCATTTCATCCATGATCCCAGATACCCCCCATTCAGTTAGTCTAGGCTTAGGTGGAAATGGATATGGTATGGGGACATGAGAAGGGGTGTGGAGTGGTGGAGTGATGGTAGAACGAGGGTGGTGGAATGAGGTGATCGACATTCTGCAATGCATCCATTCAATCTCGCTAACACCCGCCCGCCCGCCCGCCTTCCGTTTTGGAACGGGGGTGTTTCGCTCGCTCGCTTGCAACGTTCGTTATGGATACAGAGATGATCCCGGTTGGTGGGCGGGCGGGCATTAAGTACAACACTAGAAATGAGATGAGATGAGATGAGATTCCCCCAACAATCTCCATATCGTATTGTATCCATGTTATGGAAAAGGGGAAAACCAAAAACCGTTGGCGATTGTGGATCGACTGGAGGTACCGCACGTGGGTTGGGGAATGGTAAAGGTGTTTTTCATGTTCGTTTACCCATCCATCCCTGATAGCCTGACTGCTTAAATAGGATGGTGGTAGTGAAGTAGATAAACAAATGCTGGTAATTGGAGAGAGGCATGCGTTCTGATAGGAACCAGTCGTTGGTGTATACCAGACATTGGGATATGATAATGGAAGGTGGTATGATCGAGGATTTAAATGACAATCTGCATGTGCGCACCGATTAGATTTCGAGTTTGAGACATGTGTTCAATCACCGTGGCCAGAGGGAATGACTCGGAATGACTGGAAGAAATAGAGCAAGTTGTAGAGTCGAGGCCAATGTTGGGGGAGATGCAAACGATCGAGGAAGTCAGAAAAACACAAGCCATGTGATTGAGATGAGGTTTTCCACTCCCATTACCACCTATTAATCTATATTACTAGACTTCGACAGCAACAGTAGGTACCGGGCCTGGCCTCGTACCGTACTGCGATTAAATCGTCCTGTGACTTGAGTGCTGGTAACTGAATATGGTATATAAACCAAAAGGGTATCGTATCGTGTATCAAAACCGATCAGCAAAAGAAGAAAACAAAGCAAAAGAACACAACTGTAAGTGCATGCCATCGTGAATGCCCCGTCGTCATAACCATTAGAAAAAAACATCAAATCATAACCCATGAGCCGCTTCAGGCCTTTTACATCTCATCCTCAAAGAACTTGATAAGTGTCCTCACACCCGAGACACCCAGACCCATAAAGGGGTAGCAGATGTACACCAAGTCGTTCCTCGCGCCAAACTTCTCGCGGAACTCGGACTTGTTCACCAACTTCAATTGCTGGCAAATAGTCTTGTAGGTATGGCTCAACATCTTGGCTCTCATTCCGTTGAGATGGCCGCCAGTGACCATCTCCGGCAAGGCGCCCGCGCCGAACGTCACGTTCCTGACACCGGACTTGGCCAGCATCTGGATCGCCGCCGAGATCAGGGCCTCGATGGTTCCGTTGGGAGAACCGGGGAAGTCTAAGGCGAACTTGATCTGATACCCGTTTGCGGGAGAAAGACGGGCGAGCACGCACATGGCGACAATCTCGCCGTTCTTGTCCTCGGCCCAAAGGTAGCGACGGTGCTCCATGTCGACCCACGGGCGGACTTCGGTGATGTGCACCTGCTTCTTGCCCTTGCGGTTGTCCTTCCAGTCCTGGATGCGCTTGTCGCACTTTTCGCGGATGTGTTCGGGCACGGGCTCACCGATGGGCACCTCGTGGATGGACACACCAGCTTCTTCGGCTTGACGCTCCTTCTTGGCCACCTTCTTGGCCGAGTCGACAGACACGCGCTCTTCGGCGACGCAAGAGAGCGAACGCCACCCGAGCTTGGAGCCGAGAATCTCCTCGACTTCGGGACCCACCAAGAGCCAGAGAGGACGGAGGTCCTTGGTGTGGCGCATATCTTGAAGGAAGGCGCGGATGACGAGCTGGTATTGGCGAGGGTCGCAGAGCGGGTTACCCATGACAAGGGCGTAACCGTTGTCCTCGGCGTAACCAATGGCAGCACCCGTCTGCTCATGGCGCCAGACGTGGTACCGCTCGTCGAGCCAGGAGGTGTTGGTGGCATCACCGTAGTTGACAATGAGTTTCTCGACGGGGGGGAGCTCAAGTCCAGTCGCGCCATGGTCGTAATCGTAGGCATACTTGATGGTGTCGGCTTCGGGGTGGGGGAGCTTGCCAACGAGTTCCTTGTGTTCGGGGAGGGACTTGGGGTCGCGAGGAATGAGAGAAGCGTTACGGATGTCGCCCAAGTTGAGGAGGAGGAACACGATACGCTCGAGGCCAATACCGCAGCCGGCATGGGGCAGGACACCATACTCAAAGCCTTGAAGGTATTCCTGCATGCCAAGAGGCTCGATACCGGCCTTCTTCATGCGCTCCTCCAAAAGGTGAGGCCTGTGGATACGCTGACCACCAGTGGTGATCTCCTGTCCACGAAGGAAGATGTCGAAGGAGTTGGTGAAGCGGTCATCCTCGGGATCAAGATGAGTGTAGAAAGGACGAACAGAGGACGGGAACTTGTCGATGATGTAGTAATCCGTCTTGTACTTTTCCTTGATGACCTGGCCCAACTGAATCTCGGCACGGGTGCTCAGATCCTCAGTCTCCAAAGCGGGTCTACCGTGATCGTCGGTCCAGCCGGAATCGTTGAGGAGCTTGATGGCATCCTTGAAGGGAATGATGGGGGTCTCTGGTAGCCAGACCAGATCTTCATGAGGAAAGCGGGTCTTGATGATCTCGATCTCCTTGCGGTACTTGCCGTAGATACCCTTGAAGATCTCCTTCATCAAGCCGTCGATAATGTGCATGGCCTCGTGGTAGTCCTGCTCGATGGCCATCTCCAGATCCATACCGGTGTACTCGGTCAAGTGACGATGGGTATTGCTGTCCTCAGCACGGAAGACGGGGCCAATTTCGAAGACACGGCCAAAGTCGGCCGAAATGCTCATCTGCTTGGCCAACTGGGGGCTTTGGGCGAGGAAGGCAGTCCTGCCAAAGTAGTTCACCTTGAAGACCTCAGCACCCGACTCGGTCGCAGCGGGCTGCAACTTGGGAGTGTGGATCTCCATGAAGCCCTTGTCTTCGAGGTATCGACGGAAGATGCTGCAAATACCGGCATTGATGCGGAAGATGGACTGAGCGGTGGGTGTACGGAGGAAGGCAATGCGGTTAGAGACACGGACTCTGGTCGAGGCCAGGGACTCCAGCTGATGTGTCTCGCTGTCCACCTCGACATGGTCAATCGAGTGGACGTCGACAGGGAGATGCTCGTCAATAGGGACGACGAGGTGCATGGTGTCGATCAAAACCTCGACATTGTGGATTGTGCACCCCTTGATCTCCTCAGGAGGTTGCTGTAGCTTTCCCTCGACGTGTACAAAACTCTCGGCCGTGATGTGCTCGGCCCAGCGAACAAAGTTCTCCGAGACGACGCCATCTCTGACGGATAGGACGCCCTGGACCGTCTCGATCTGGTCGCGGAAGACGACGAATGCGAGTTTGGAGCTAAGTGCGCGGACGTGGTGGACGCGGGCTCGGAAGCTAACGGTCTTGCCAATGTTCTGGTAGTCGTTAACGAGGACTTGAAGGGACTTTGCGGGAGCGAGGGCTTCCTCTTCTTGTGTTCCGTATCGTCGAGCGATCTCGGGGCCGTCGGCTTCGTGCCACCTCTTCTCTTCCTCGCTGCGTTTTTGAATCATCAATTTCTTTTCTTCCTCGAGTTGGTATTCCTTTGCGCGCTTCTCCTGGATCTTCTGGATGTTCTTCTTTGCGCGCTCGTCGTCGAGCTGGTCGATGTCGCCGATCTTGGGTTTGCTCATGTGGTTCTTGGCCGAGGAATGGCCGATGATGCGGTTGAGAGCCAGCAATGGCTTCTTGAGCTTGCCTGGCGACATGATGGCTGTGGATTTGGGTTTGAGAGTATCTTGTTGGGTATCTGTTTTGGTTTATTAATTGGTGATGTTGATTGCGGGAGACAATAAACGACTTGTGAAGCTTGTGGACTGTGTGGCAGCCCCAAGACAAAAGGCCGTGTGTGCAATTCGCAGATCTGATGGTGATGGAGAGAGAAAATGGGAGGGACAGCAAGGCAAAGTAGTTATAAGGGAGACAACAATTAGTAGGAAAGAGAGGGTCACCAGAAAAAAAAACAAAAAAACAGAAAACAGGCGATGACGAATGTTCGGGAATTTGCTGGGGAACCTTGATTACACCCCGGTCACTGTGTCGGTTGCCGGGCTTTGCTTGGTCAGAGACTGCTTGTGATTCAGGGCAGGGGGGGCAACAGCAGCCACTAAAGAACAGCCAGACTTCGGACGCCGGCGGAATGGGAATGGGACGAGATGGACTCATGTTTGATTTTCAGTATTTGGGATGTTGTGCCTGGAAATCCTCCAAGTTTGATACTAATTACGGTATGTGGGTGTAATTCTTGGCCTGGACATTCCGAATTTCCGATGGTATCAGAGTTGTACACTACTCAGTTGTATCGGATCGTGATCATCACCAAGGACAGGCATATGATGGCTGTCAAAGTCCATCATCCGCTCCTCCCTCTACTTCTACCGTACGTACTTGGGGGCATATCATGGATACTTCACTAGTGAGAGGAAACACCCTCAATAATCCAATGCGTTGATCCAGTCCATCAATCACTGCCAGCTGAATATGACGGAGAGTCTAGACTGGTGCTGTCATTCCAATGTTTCATACACTGCAACCGTGATTTGTTACAGACAAGTGCCCTCTTCCTGGAGCCATGTCATGAATGCACTTGCTCTGTCAGCGAATGTCCGCTCGTTGTTGGTGACTGCCCCCCCCCCCCCCCCGGCTGTCACAAATTCAAAACTAAAAAGGCCGGAAATCGATCGATGGTCCAGGCCACCACCCAGCGTGGAAAGAGCAAACGACGTCATGGGGTGTATGACGTCACCGTTTATGCAGCGCCAAGAACTCGTCAGCGGCCAATGTCGGCGGAAAGAGGACAACTGACTTCAGTTTAAACATGAAACGAGACAAAACATTTAGTGATTCAGAGCAGAGGCTAATGGTAAGTGTCTCACTGTGAAAAGATGGATAAATATATTTTGACTATGGTGTCCTTCTTAGGGTGTTCAAGTTGATGAATGTCGCTCTTTTCCTTCACATCGGTCGATCTTCTGTGGAGTTCTACAGTAGTGTATTTTTCCTCATGGCTTTCGCGGCAGGCACCTTGGACGAAGGTTATTCGATAAGCCCTTATCAGTCGGGTATTTTCGCAACCTAAGCCAAGAGTGTGCCTGGCCTAGCCTTGGCCTGAGGGAAAATGAACCAATCACAAGTCAGGCCACTCGATGCCGATGACATCAATTCCCCTCCTCTCCCCTCCCCTTCCTCTCAACCTCAGGGCAGCTCTTTGTCCCTTTTTTGGTCCCCTGGAGCCTGAAGTACAATGGCGCACAGCCGTGATAGTTCCAGTCCGTGTCCTGTTCCTGTTCCTGTTCCTGGACTGCGTCGGTTGAATGGAGCACAACAATGACGGATTTTTGTTGTGGCACTCATGGAGGTAATTCGACACACGAAGATCGACAAACATTACATAAATCGCTGAATTATCATTTTGTCCACATCCCACCTTTGGTGCGACCTGTCCCATACTCCCATTGACACGACATAACTACCAAACTACCTTACTCCGGTACCCATTACATACCTCTACTGTAACTCTTTGCTGACTCTTTGGTCGCAATCTCCTTGTTTACTCTCTATAGTTTGCCCCCTAATAGATCGAATCGTCAACACCATGACAGGCAAAATTCCCACCGTCGAAGGGATCCCCGTCCTGCCGTTAAGCCACAAAGACGATGGAAGCTGGGTGAGACCCGAAACCGCCAACGATGCCATCAACCCGGCCCCATCGAGATGGTATCTCAAGGCACAGGCTTCTGCCCTGCGATCCGGTCTATACATCGGCATGACCCTCCACTACATGGCTAGCCCTCGACCACCAAACCCCAATTTCACGCTTACGATCCCCTCGCTTCTATCCAAACACAAGGGTACTTTTACCCTCCAGTTCTACACCCCAAAGGGCTACGAAGATGCCGCCAAACACGGCAAGCGATATCCCGCAGTCGTCAACTTCCACGGCGGTGGCTTCACAATCGGCAACGGTACCGACGATGCCCGATTTGCTCGCTACGTCCTCGAGACCTGCGACGCCGTCTTCGTCTCGGTCGACTATCGCCTTGCCCCCGAGTACCCATTCCCGACCGCCGTCGATGACGCTGCCGATGCGCTCTTCTACCTTATTCGCCAATCCGCCGACCTACACATTGATCCCATGAAGCTCGCGACATCCGGTTTCTCAGCCGGCGGCAACATCGCAATTACTGCCACGCTGCGCTTCAACGAGCACTTGAAGGAATTGGCCGACCCCGATAACAAGGCTCCGCCAGTCCCCGAACACAAGATCCGCGCCATCGCGACTTGGTACCCCGTTACCGACTATAGCATATCGCGCGCCGAGAAGCGCGCCACCTGCGTCAAGCCCGAGAGCACGCTGCCTCCTGCCATGACGAACCTGTTCGACGGGTCTTACCTCTACCCTGGTGATATAAAGATGGCGCATCCCTGGCTATCGCCCGCCCGAGCCAGCGATGACGAACTGAGGGAAGCCATACCGCAAAACGTGCTCGTGTACACGTGCGAGTGGGACATGTTGCAGAAGGAGGGAGAGGCCTTCGCTAAGCGGTTGGCGGCCGAGCCTCTGAATAAGACGGTCCATCACAGGATGATTCCCGGGGTTGCCCATGGTTGGGACAAGAGTCCAGATCCGTTGAAGCCGGCGATACATACGCAGGAGGTGTATACAGACTGTTGCCGGAAGTTGTTGGCGATATTTAATGCAGTCGATTGACTCATACCCCGGAGAAGTTACTGGCAGGCTTCTTTGGAAAGGGAAAAGCTGGTCGTTGACTGAAGGTTGCAAATGAGGAACATACGAGTTCGAATGAACATACCTTAATGCAAGTAACCTCTCCTCAAACTCATGATTACTTTTATCATCCAATATGACAAATGATACAAATGATAATGGCCTCGAACTTGCCCATGATCACAACCTATCGATGTATGTACTTCCCCATAGGCTGCTTAACAATCATCAAAACAAAAGAAAGCTGACATTGACGATAGGCAGACACCGATCGTTCTTGGCATCATGCGTTGGAGTGCGAAAAGCGTAACAGAAACGGCGACACGACGCAGTAGTGCTTACCAATTCGGCGTTAACGATATATCACGACATGGTAGATTACCAATTCGGCGACTCGTACTACTCTAACTCCGTGAAGTATTAAACACCTCACGTACAAATCGAACATCTTCAAGATGTACATAAGCCCATCTTCATTTCCTCAGACATTCATACACCATCCATACATCACCAGCAACCCCAATCGTCCATCCATTACCTATTAAACCACACCTTCAGCATCATTGACTACCCCATTCCAAACACAATCATCATGGCCCCAATCCGCGTCGCCCTCATCGGCCTCAGTTCATCTTCCCCCTCCTGGCTCTCCCTCGCCCACCTCTCCTACCTCTTGTCCGCCAGAGGCCAACAGAAATTCCAAATCGTCGCTCTCCAAAACTCCTCCCTCTCCGCCGCCGAAGCAGCCATCAAGAAATACAACTTTGATCCCACCGTCGTCAAAGCGTATGGCAGTCCTGAGGACTTGGCCAAGGATGAGAATGTAGACCTGGTGGTCTCGGGCACGCGGGTTGATGTTCATTATGGGAATTTGAAGAGGTTGTTGGAGGGGTGGAAGGCTACTGGGAAGACTGCTGGAAAGGGAGTGTACAGCGAGTGGCCGTTGGCAAGCAATTTGCAGCAGGTGGAGGAGTTGGTTGCCCTAGCTAAGGAGACGGGCATAAAGACGGCGGTGGGCACGCAGGGGTGGGCTAGTCCGGTGGTTAAGAAGATAGGGGAGGTGTTGAAGAGTGGAAGGGTTGGAAAGGTTTTGAGTTCGGAGGTGAGACTGAGTGGTGTCACGGCGGAGAGGGAGGTGATGCAAGAGAAGACAGAGTATTTCACTAGGAGGGAGGTGGGTGGGAATATGTGGAGTATTGGTGGTGGGCATCGTGAGTCTCTTTTTCTTTTTCTTTTTCCCTTTTTACCAGAATTGTTGAACAGAGATAGGAAGGAGACTAACAAGAAGCAGTGATCGACCTTCTACAAAGTGCCCTCGGGGAACTAACCAACGTCAAATCCCACTTCCACATCCAACGCCCCCTCGTGCCCCTCAAGGACAGCACAACAGGCACCATCACCCGCACCGTCACCTCCAACACGCCCGACCTGCTCTACGTCGTCGGCTCCCTTCCTGCTTCCGACACTGTCCAGCAGAACGCATCACTACACCTCCGCATGCGCCGCGGCCCGCCCTTCCCCGGTGAACCAGCCTTCGTGTGGACTCTTACGGGAGAAAAGGGCGAGATCAGAGTGAGCAGCAAGGAATCGGTAGCCATCATTTTGGGCGCGGGGGAAGTGAAAATTGAGATTCATGATTATCAGACGGATAAAGTGGAGGAGGTAGAGTGGAAGTGGGAGGAGTGGCAGGAGGAGTTGCCGGCGCCCGCGAGGAATGTGGGGAGTGTATATGAGGGGGTTTGGGAGGCTTGGAACGAGGGGATCTCTAAAGAGGAGGGAAGGGAGAAGAGGTATAATGATTGGGAGGTTGCTGGACGGAGGCATGAGTTGCTTGAGAGGTTGTTGGTTGATAATGGGTTTTGAGGGGCAATGAAGACCAAGATGAACTAGAGTTACAAGGGGAGTTTCAGAATCTAAGGGCGGTTTTTCTTGCTACCATCTTTTTCTGCTCGTTCGGGAGATTGACTCCCTGCTATCAGGTTTATGATTCGGAGATGGTGTCGCAGGGGTAGTGCTTACAACAATCAGATTTAAAGTCAGTTCTCCCGCAAGAGTTGACAGATAACTCATCTATAGAGAACAAGCACCATTCCACCCCAATTTGTCAATACAGAACTTCGTTCCAGGACTCGAAAAGATGCTCGAATTCGTGATCGCGATGCAATGCTTGAAGTAGTACCCGTAATCATGTTTCGATGATCCTGACACCTTCTTCATCGACTTGCTATGCCAGTGGTCGGCTCGCCAGAGGTCGAAAGAAATGCTCTTAGGGTGCAAGACCCAATCAGCTTCGCTTCACTTGTCGTGTTCACATCACCTCTCATCATGGTCATCACTCGAGCTATCACCGTCTGGGGGCATCACAAACAAAAAATGCAGGACTCGCCCTCTCCAAGATATCCCACAGCCACCTGAACCCCAGGGAACTCCAGTCATCGAACACCCCAGTCGAACAAATTGCATAATATGTAAAAATGCTTGCTCAAATCCGAATGGAGCTGCACCCCAGCTCCCAACGAGTGTTCGCGTTCTGCCAACATACCACCGTCATTCTCCGTCACTCCCCTTATCCATCCTCCCTTTTGGTGGGTGGATACCGTGGTTGAGCTGCTTCACGTAAGCAGCCAATAGCAGCTGTTACTGCCATTGGGTCGTGCACGAACCACATAGAGGAAACGCACAGACCCGACACCCAAGAAGGCTGCCAACGCCAAGGCACGTGACCTCAGATTGTGATTAGGGAATCGTTCTCGCTTGAATCTCCACCATCACATCATTCAGGTCACCAGGTCAATCCCATCGCATCAATCGCCTCGACACCGTCAATCGCTCTCGGATATGGCGGACTCTAGGCCCCATTCACCACTATCATCTACCCAATCCTTTGACTTGCGCGACGATGGAGCACTAGAATTACCACCGGCTCAATTGCCTGACTACGAGTATCGCAATGACAACATCCGCGACGACGAACATGATGCATCAACTCAACTGCCTTCGTCCGCCCTATTGTGAGTTATCCGTTAGTACACCAATTATATGGCCTCAGACCAGCACCGCCTCTCGCCTCCTGTCTTTCGCCTCCTGTCTTCCGGCTCCCTCCTTCTAGCGACAGACAAGCTAATCATCGCTATGTACTTGTTGCAGCACTGCCTGATCGTGATAGTTAGCGGGTTCGATCATTCACCGGCCTATGTTCTTTCTACAACAGCGACATGCACACACACTACATTTGCTCTCTGCTTCCTTCTTTCCCATCCTTTCAATCACTCCGGCTTCCTGTCTTTCTATCTCCTCTCCCTTCACTCGATTCACCCTCCCGTCACCGCTCAGTGAGCAGCCACTCTTCCCCCCTGGCGATACGATGTGCTCAAAGTCCGCCTTCCACACCGGTCATGGGTCGTTATAAAATGCCAACTCCTACCCACCAGGTACGCCTGTTGGAAGGACTGGGATCCTTGATTAGTGTGGGAGCAGTGCTGAGAGCGGTATTGCTACGCAAGGACGGTGGGATGATCATCAGAGCTAGGTGGCTCAGTTACACAAGTACTGCGTTTCTGACGGACGATGAACTCGAAGCACATAACCACATCGGTCAGGGGCCGTTATAAAATGCCAACTCCTACCCAGCAGGTACGCCTGTTGGAAGGACTGGGGCCCTTGGTCTGTGTGGGGATGTTGCTGAGAAAATATGCGACCATATCGGTCAGGGGTCGTTATAAAATGCCAACTCCTACCCACCAGGTACGCCTGGTGGAAGGACTGGGACCCTTGGTTTGTATGGGAGCGTCATTGATAGATAAGTATACTGATAAGTTTGTAGTTCAAACGAGCGTTGTGAGGACTATGGAGAAAACCTCGATACCGAGTTGATCGAAAGTCCCGGTAGACATGACGACGGAGACATATCAACCGCCTCTGGCTCGAGCGATAATGAAAGTCACTGCAAGATCGATCTTCGCAATTGTAGCGGGATGGTGATTTGGAAGGATGCCAACCATCAGGACCAGCAAACATCAGACCTGCGCATCGACCTACTCGTGGATACCGCAAAGCGAGAAGCTGTTTTTGCCCTCCATGGCTTCTTCTATACCAAAAACGGCGGTCACAAAGCCTATCTTTCGCTACTTGTTTATCCGGAAAAAGTTGAGTCTATAGAATTCGAACGCGCGCGTTTTGTGCCTGATTCTATAATGAACAACATTCCCGATGACAGCACTGTTTCTTTGCGTTTCACCATGACACAACCGCCAAACCTCATGGTACCAAAGGATCGGCGTGTTGAGCCGAAGCCGCGGTACCAAGCTGTTGTTGATACTATCGCATCTTTGGGCTCGGTTAATCGATTCACCATTTACCTAAGTGACCTAACACCGGAGATCCAACAAGAACTGGCTTTACTGCCCTCCGTCTTCTCGTCTGTCCGTCCATTCGGCCGGTTACAGGCGGACGAGAAGTGGGCGCCCCCTAGCTCATTGTATCAGTACACATTTGCTCAGGTCATTGACTTGACCAGTGCTGCCCCTGTCTCTAACGGTGATTCCACCAAGGAATTCGAGGAGTTGGGAAATCCAGTTGAGGCAGGAGCCGCCGTACCCCCGCCATACTCACCAGGAGACTCCCAGCGTTCGATACAAAGCATTGGTCCCTCAAGTAAGAAGCGAAGGGCCAGTGAACCCTTGCTTGCTCACACCACGGAAAAGCACGGCGATTCAGACTCCAGCATACTGGGATACGGAACACCAGGAAAAGGGCCTCAACCACCGTACACTAGGAGTGACAGTCTCGCAAGTCCTGCACACTTCTCAACCCCATCTGGTACGTTCTGTCTATCCACAATTGATATTCTGCCCTTTCTAACTAAGTCCGTCGCAGACCGTAAACGTCAACGTACCGCAGAACTTCTTTCCCCCGTAACCAACGCCGATATCGTTTCAGCATTGCGCCAAGTCCTCACGTACAACACCTCCCTCTCCAACCGTATTTCACAGCTCGAAACCCGCCTCGATCACTGTTCCTCTCGACTCGACTCGTTAATAACCGAGTTCGTTGCCGCCACCGATCGCACCCGGACTCCCTGCCGTTATGACACTGAAGAAGCAGAGCACGTTTTCAGTCAGATCGACCAGCGCATCGAAGACGGCATTCACGACATACGCCACGAGCTCGAAGACACGATCAAGGTCGAGGCGGAGGAGCGGGTCACTGAAGAAGTGAGGCTGCAACATGAGGAACTTCGTGACAAAGTGGAAGCGGACTGGACCGAGGACGTGAGGCAGGGGATTGCTGAGCAAATTGCCTCGGAGGTAGAGGAGAAGACGACGCGCGAGGTCCTGAAGGGGATCGCGGAGGTTTTGATGGGTGCTTATCAGGCCAGTCAGGACGGAATATCCAGCTTGTTCCCAGGCAACAGCAGATTCGGTGCGACTGCAGCTCTACCTGGCGAAGCGGCCCTCCGTGCGGCGGTGGAGGATATCCAGAGCAAGCATAAGGATGAGTTGACGGGAGAGGAAATGATTGGGGTGTTGGATCTCCTCGAGGAAAACCCGCTAAGTGCGGTCAAGTACAATGCGTGTGGTGAGGAGACGAGAAGGGTGTATGTGATGAAGTGGAAGGCGGACGTCTCAGGACGGGGTATCTTCAAATCGACATGGTATAAGCGATAATGGTAGCGATGGATATGTTGGAACTACTGGCAGGCAGAGGGAGTTCTGATGCGCGCACAATGACGAATGATAATGGCGACGATTAATCGCATGATATTTACTCTCCTAAATGAACAACGGACAATCGATGCTGAGCCCCTTTTCACCATCTCATTGGATACGTGACCCTGACACTTGATCATGCCACCATTCTCATCCCCAGAAATGAACGTTGTATTGTTTGGTTCTGATGAATTTGCGATACCAAAGTCGAAGAAGGCAGGATAAGTTCTGTGTAATGAGGAAATGGTCATGGTATGTATAATAGGTAGCAAAAAGAAAAAAAAGAAGAAGGAAAAGAAAATCGACGATCCGCACCGGAGTCGAACCGGTAACTTCCCTCGTACTGAAAGAAGGTCCGAAGACACGACTAGCAGGCGGTTAGGGTGTGTTGCCCATTACACTAACGGACCATCTGGTGAGAAGGACGGGACTTACCGACTTATATACCTAGGTTCGTCTCAAGGTTCAAGAAACCATGTGATTGTGAGGCTGTGGGTTGGACCTATGGTCATTAACTGGGTGTGAATTCAATGTTTTCGGGAAATATACAATGCGTGTGTTTCATGAAAGTCCACGCCAAGATACGAGGCTCTCGCTGCCCGCTAAAAAGCCCGCCAAGATACACCACTCCACAGCGCACTTCAGCTCCGGGTACCGCTTCCAGGCGTCCACATAGGTGCTCACCTGACCCCGCGTAAGCTGACCGCGTCGGATATCGAAGCTCACGCCGCGGTAAACGCGAATCTCGGCTGCCAACTTCCACTTTGCACGACGGACATCACTCTGAACCCGCCAGAGTGACTCACCACCTCCGACCTCGACATTCTCCCTGCGATGAACACACACGCAAAGGACGGCTAGGATCTAGATTTGTCGAGGCGAGCAGTGCCGTTGCGCGACTCGCATTCCACTCAACATGCCATGACCGACTCCAGGGCCCAGGGTCAGCCACCTCTCGAGCTCTATCCCCAGTACTGCTTCCACCTCTCGCCCACCATCAACAAGTGGTGTCACCTACGAGCAGCCGATATTGCCATCCTGTCGAGCCATCCAGGGTTTCAAGGTAACTCCGACCCTATCCCCCGTCATGTAGTCCTCCGAAACGATGTCTAACAAACGGATCATGTCCAGGCCAAGACCTCTACTTCCACCTCAACCACCCCATCAAATGGGTTCGTATCTGCGGCATCGTCGTCGCCATCGACGTCTACGGTGACTCTTCTTCACGAAGCAAGGGGCAGATACAAGTAATCACCATTGATGACAGTAGTGGACATACAATCGAATGCGTTATCCCGCTTCCTCCACCTGCTGCTCCCTCCGTCCCTCCTTTAGGCAAACAGGAACAACAACAACCACCCCAATCCTTACCCCTCATCGATTCCCCAATCGACATTGGCCACATTCTGGATATCAAAGGCTCCCTTCGCAACTTCCGCGATCAGCGACAAGTCAAAGCCGAGAAAATCGTTCATTTACGCACAACAGAGCAGGAAGTAGCCTTTTGGGAAAGAGTTGTGCAATTGCGAAAAGAGATCTTGGATAAGCCGTGGAAACTGGATGAGAAGGTAGTCAGGAGGTTAAGAAGGGAGGCGATGGGGGTTGATGAGCGGGATGCAAAGAGGGAAAAGGAGAAGGATGAAGCGAGGAGAGAGAGGAAGAGGAGGAGGAGGTTGGAGGAGGAGAGAAGAAGGTTGGAAAAAGAGAGGAGGGTAGAGGGGGAGAAAAGGGTTGCCTTCACTTCTGACTCTGTGGGAGCAGCAAAGACGCAGGCACTACAAGTGGTGGTTCCAACGAGAGCCAGGAAGAACGTCACGGGCTTGGAAAGAAAGGTCGTGTCGAAGCCGCCGATACCAACGAGACCGAAGGAGCCTACGGGCTTGGAAAGAAAGACCAAGTCGGTCAGTAGTGACAGGGTGGTTCCTGTAACTGGCAAGTACACGGCTCTTGGGCTGTGACAGTGGACTATTGGAAGGAAGGAAGGTTGGATATATCCTTCCGGATATCACTACCAGGGGCATTTCATCCGCGAGTGGCACCATAATATGGGGAAGGTTCAATGCAGTCCTTAAGTAGAGGTATTCCTTGTTGACTCTTCTGCTTCCAATCCCAATCCTCCAATCTGTTTCACTTCCATCACCAGACCCAGTGGCAGTCTTCCACCCCACATCACATTTGATAAATCGTCTATCGTCAACGCACTACTGGCATTCTTCCGAATACATTATCCCTAGTCCCCACCCGAGCAGTGTCGTCGCGTACCAAGCCTGCTTGCCTCACAACTTGTCTCACCCAGCTCTCCGATCATCCACGATGTCCGGCAGTCAACAAGGCGAGTGGCCGCCATTCGCCGGCTACCAAGTGCCCAACATGTCTGGCAATCAACAAGGCGACTTACCGCAATTCGACGTCAATCAAGGGCCCATGATATCTGGTGCTCAGCCAGGCGAGTCACCCAAGTTTGGCGACGACGAGATGCCTACCGGTAGCATGTATGGAAGTCAGCAAGGAGAGTTACCGCAATTCGACCCCAACGAACTGCCTGGCATCTATGAAAATCAGCATGGAGAGTTAGAACAATTCGACGTCAACCAAGCGCCCATGTTGTTTGGCGATCAACAAGTCATGCTAGAGCAGTTTGACGCCAACCAGATGCCTACCGAGAGCATGTATGGAAGTCAGCAAGGCGAGTCGCCTCTTTCCCCTGCCAACCAGGTGCCCATGATGTTTGGCAATCAACAAGGCGAGTCGTCGCTTTCCCCTGCCAACCAGGTGCCCACGATGTCTAGCAATCAGCAAGGCGAGTCACAGCAGTTCAACGCCAACCAAGCACTCATATTGTTTAGCAATCAACAAGGCGAGTTGTCGCTTTCCCCTACCAACCAGGTGCCCACGATGTCTAGCAATCAGCAAGGCGAGTCACAGCAGTTCAACGCCAACCAAGCACTCATAATGTTTAGCAATCAGCAAGGCGAGTTGCCGCAGTTCAACGCCAATCAAAGGCCCATGATGTTTGGCAGCCAACAAGGCGAGTCGTCGCTTTCCCCTGCCAACCAAGCACCCCTTGGAGCTACCTCTGCTCAAGGCGGTCAAGGAGCAGAACAGTCAGCGTCCATCGAATCAGTGATGGCTGCCTTGACACACCTGGCGGCAGTTTGCGAAGGTATAGAGACCACCTTGCCCATGGACGTCTATCGTGAGCTGCAAAGAGATTACAATGCCTTGGTTTCCGCAGTGCAGGCGAAAATATACCTCCCTCGAGAACCTGTGCCTCAACCGATACTGGAAGCTTCTATACGCATAGAATCAAGGGTAAGCCAATGCAGCTGTGTACCTTCCATTCTGCTCTGGACTGAGATAGCCTTTTAGTTATTCCAGCTCATGCATCACACACCTGTCGACGATGTCGCCAGCCCGGTTCTTGGGCGACGAGCCGCCCCGCCGTGTCAGATAGAGAGCATGAACTCGGTAGCCATGGCACAAACAGTCGCAACGTTGAACCAGGCCTTTCCAATGCCATGTCGTAGTTGCGCGGGTACAGGTACTGCATGCCAGAGGTCCTTCATTGACGAAGAATGCGCCTTCTGTGAAGGCTCCAACCGAGAGTGTAAAACCGACTATACCGTGGACACCGGTCCACCACCAGTCAGTGGCGGTTCTGCGGGTGCGGCTGCGAACACGCGAAGAGTTATGGACAACCTCTTCCAAGAACATTGCAAGGCGATTTTCGATATTGTCCACTCGAGGGTGAGGGACGCCACGAGTCTATTATACGTGCAAAATCAACTATCCTCACTTCGTCCGACCTTGGAGGGGCATGATGATGTTTTCCTTTGGAATGTTTGGATAGGGAGCATGAAAGAAGTAAGTGGTTCCAATCGTCTTGTTCCTGAAAGATTCAGGCCTACAGGTTGCGTTTTCCATTAGGGGCAGCTGTTTACTTGAATATCGCTTTCTTCCAGAGATGGCTCCATTGCAACATGGAGATACGCGTCGCCAAAAACCCGCCGGCATGCCTGGAGACAAGCAGAGGGTGGGCTGTGCGCGAATGTGTCCAAGGACGCCTTAGTCGGATGAAGTTAATGGCTCGAGACACCCCCGATACCTTTTCAGTTAGATTTGGTGCATTCGGACTATTTCGAGACTCAATCGCACGCAACCTGTTTTGGTTGGACACGTACTGGTTGGCAGAAATTTGTCCAGAGCAGCGTCTAGAAATCAGGAATACGGTACTTGATCCATTGCCCCAAATTGAGTCTCATTCTTCCTCCCTTACTAATCCTTCTTTCGCACTTCAGCTAGTGGATTTACTGTCCTTCTGTAACATCACCGCCGGATACATATGCTCGGCACAGTCTTATCTCGCGTTAGCCCACCGAGAGTTCCTGCGCGCCAATTGTTACATGGTCGCTCAAGGGTTTGTCGAGACCTAGAAGGCACTGGAACCTTTTTATGAGCAGAACGTATACATTGACATTGTCATGCATCTGTGTCGGTTTGCCGGACCAGAGATACCATATCAACAACAACAACAACAGCAATTCAACATGAAGCACAAAGCGCTCGCGAGTCTCTGGCGGTTCGCGTCCGAGTTGATGACGAAGCAGTTAGAGCAAAGGAAGAAGCTGGAGATGTTTTGTGAGACCATGGTGGCTTCGAAGACGGGAGATTTTGGCGTGACGACGATGACGCGGGACGCGAAGGCGAAAGTGTTGAATGAGAGGTGGGGTGAGTTGAAGAAGCGGTTGGATGTGTATACTATGAAGGTTCGTCGGTTTCCCTCTCCCTGGTGTTACTTTGAGTTTCTGTTTGGTACAGCAATGTAGCTTTGTGTGCTAACAGACTGTCTTGGGTGTTCTAAGTGGATAAAAAGAAATGAGTGGATGCTGGTTACGATTAGAGCCTTGGGTATCATGGATTTGATTCCTCCTCCACTTTCTGGGACGGTTTCGGATTCAACAACGACTGCCGTTGTTCCGTCGGGTTCGGTCCCTCCTTCGGAAATGTTTCCAGATTCGATGCCTGGTCCGTCCTCATGATGTTTTGCGTGCGTTGCGAGTTACGGCTGGTAGAGATGGCGGTTGGGAGGGCGATTTGGGTCATCGTTGGAATAGGAATTACATGGGCTGGAGTTTTGAATAGCGTTATGAGCTTAATTTGGGGAATAACGTCATTGTGTAAACTTGTAGCTTAGCATAAGAAGAAGAACAGCGTATGAATATTGGTATATGACGGTACCCTTCATCTCTTTTTCCTAACGATGTAACTGCGGTACTTGATATGGGCGATCAAGGGTGATGAGTAAGGAGACACTCATTGAATCCAGCATCTTCTGGGATGACGGAGAAGCAGAGCGTACTCGTTGATGAAAGTTCAAGTTGTTCTTCATGATCCAGGTTTCTAGAACGTCGAATTGAAAGTCGATCTTCAAATAATTCGAAAGATATCTCGTCCAGTGCTCCAGGAGTGAGAGCCTAGGAACCGAGCTAACTAACAAACCAGCCACTGGAATGAATGCACTTGGTGTTAGAGCAAGGAACTCGGCAGTCTAACAGGCTGTTAGTGCCTCCCTCGGTATTTGGTGTTAGAAATGCTATACTCTTAACAGCACAGAGCCAAAATTTAGTTAGTGCAGGCACCCATCGCCATGCCGTGCCGGCTAGATAAGATAAGAAAGAGCTTCTTGTTGGTTAACTACCCCGCGACCATCAATGTTGTTTCTTTCCTTTACAAATGAAGCATCTTCATCATCCCTTATTTGCTCTGCCAGATTACGGACAACGTTACTGTAGTAATGTCGATGCGGTGTCTTCTTTTTTAATTTCGCTATTTCACGCCCCTCAGCGATATTCACGTCCGGAACGCATGGGAGGGGATGACCTCAGCTATGGGGATGCGGCGTCCCAACACTTGACAATGGTGACCCGGAGCGGGAGGAAGGAAGAAGCGGCACCATCGAGTGGTGAAAGACGATCTGTGCCTACCTGACTTAGACGGGAGGTACCTTGGGTTCCATGTTAAAATGAGCTCGAAGCAAGCGTTGTGGACTCCGCGAGAAAGGTCGAGTGCGGCAGGGAGTGATGCCCAGCTCTCCAGCCCTCCATATTACTATGTTGGACCCCGAGATCCTCAACTGTACGCACACACAATCTCCTTTTCCTAGGTTTATCTCTTTTGCTCTTGGTTTCCTTTGGTCTTTTCTATACTGTCAGATTGGATCCCCTCCAGAGATCACAATACCATCCGCCGGTCAAAGAGCCCATCGACATTCGAACCTACTACACAATTACACCTAACAACCCTGCTCGTCCCAGAGCCAGAGCGCACGCACTTTGCCCACTTTTTGTTTCGAAACATCGCTTTCGTTTCCTTCTCTTTCCAGATTGGCTTGAAACTCGAAACAAACCGCCACCGCACGTTCATAACTTCTTTTCCATACTTGGTTATCGAAGCCTTCTAGAAGCTTTCGCTGGAGCGCCACTCTCAACAAGCATTGGGACCTGACTGTCGCGTGGCGATCACAATTCTAGACTGTGTACAGGCTCGCGAGCCTTGATCAAGCCAAATAGGTTAGTGAACGGAGTGAACATTCCTGGGGTGGTGACTTGGAAATTGCGGGTCGGGGTAGTTCTGCACCGAGTTGGTTGAGACAAGACAAGACAAGGAATACATTCCAACGTCATGCACGGTCCGGTGCATGTTTACATGAGGAACCGGGAAAAGCTTGATATACTTGTGACTTTGGGCATTCTAGGAAGTTTGAAGCACATCCCCGAATACCGACAGGAACCGCCATCAGTGAAGGCAACTTTGGTTAAGTCAAACATGGGGAACATCTTGACTGACTCGAACCCCCGGATTGGACACACCTACATAAACAACATGATGTCCTTCCTGCAGAGATTCCATGCCCTCTTTTTGCTCTTACATCCCTTGTTTCTCTTTTGATCTTATCACTCGTTGATGAACGATATCCAATATGGTTGGATTCATCAACACCGAGAGACGACGGCACAGCACGCCGGTAGCATGGCTCTTGTTGCTGTGGCTAACAACATTGCTACAGATCCAACAAGCAGCCTGCTTGGCGATATTGCCAGAGTCAACACGTGCTGGCAGACGATATTACTATCCTTTTGCACCAAATTGGCGAGGATCGTTGAACCAAAAGGAGACGACTCCAGAAAGTTTGGGTGCAGACGCGGACGCAAGTACCAACGTCCAAGCGGCGACGACATCAGACGGCGCTGTCAATCTCACAGCCCGGAATCCTGACGAGCTGTACAAGACCTCACAAAGGACTATCAGCGAAAGCAGCTCCAAAATGGCTGTCACCACACCGACGGTGGCCCCATCGCCTTCCTATGCTTGCCCGTCGTGCAAGGGCACCGGGAGCAATTTGAAGCCTTCTCCCGTTTCCTCTGCTTCCTCATCACCGTTTCCCTCCAAGGGATACAGCCAACAATCACCGCCCATCAACAAAAGAAACTACAATAATTCCAATTCGAAACGTTCCGACGGCGACCTCTTCTCCACCCCCATCAGCCCCGACCTCTCCATCCCGCAATCCATCCCCTCGCAACCAAACCACCCCGCCCCCCGCAAGGGCATCAAGCAGTCTCAAGAGGGCGGCGGTACCGCAATCCCAACCAACAAATTCCACGCCAACTTCTTTCTCGGCTCGCAATCCTCTTCCGTCTGGACGCACCCATACTCGCTACAATGGGCCAAGGGGCAAGGAAGCTCCGGCGCTTGGGGTCTGGCTGTTTCCCATACCGATGCAAGCCAGCGCGTCTTTGGCGAGCAAGATCCTAATGGGAGCGGAGCGGCTCGGTGGTTTGGAAGTCCCGTGGGAAGAGCGGACGTGGTTCTCTCTGAACAAGGACTGGAAAAGGGGAATGCGACGGGCGGTGTAGAGCTCATGACGCAGGATGTCAAGGAGCAAAGCATCCGTGTGCAGCTGGTTGCGGGAGGAGATGTGAAGTTGGAGGCGCCTGTGGTACAGGGGATGGGAATGGTGACTGCGTTGTATAAGCAGGGCACGCCGGTGATCAAGTCGGGGATTGGGTGGAAGATGGTGACGAAGGCGATGGGCGTGGTGAAGGCGGGTGTGGTCAAGTATCGGCTGGTGATGGAGGATGGCGCCACTTGGTTGCTTTATGCGACGGGTGGGGATGTAAGTGCCATCAAGAGGGGAGAGCCGGGAGGGTTGGAGTTGGAGGTGCAGGGGAATAACGTGGCTGTTGCCAAGGGCAGTTTCACGGGTATGGTGCAGGTTGCAAAGTTGCCGGGTGGTGTCAATGGGACCGAGGGACTAGCTGATGCCGAGAAGCTGTACGATGCTGCTTGCGGTACGTACGCTACTGGTGTTGAGCTCTCCGGGTCCGTGGATGGGCAAACGGGTCGGTATACCTTCAACTTCCAAAAGGAAGGACTTTCCACCAACTCTAGCCTCGTCATGTTCGCTTTGCCTCACCACCAGGCATCCTTCAGCTCCGACACGGCTTCCAAGGTGGTCCCCTCTGTCAAGCTCGACACCACCACCAAGGGTGTCGCCGTTGCTGTGGTTGGTGACCAATGGACCATGGAAGAAGACGTCAGTAAGCCTATGAGCATGGGGTTCGTCCCTTGGACGCCTGAGGCGGGCTCTATCAAGACCATTAGCGACTCAGCAAAGGAGTACATCAAGACTGTGGCTCAAAAGGAACTGCTGGGCACGTCGCAGGGCCAAGACATACTCAACCAGACGGACCAGCCGAGTATGTACTTTGGTGGCAAGGCGTTGGCCAAGTTTGCGGCGATTTTGGTGGCTGTCAATGATGTGCTGGGTGAGACGGACATGGCGAAGAAGGGGTTGGATCAGTTGAAGGTTGCATTTGCAAGGTATTCGGAGAACCAGCAGCAGTATCCGTTGGTTTATGATCGTGAGTTTCCTTTTTCCTACCCGCTCCCTAGCTATGTTTAAACAAGCGGCTAATAGAGAACAGAATCCTGGAGCGGCATCGTCTCCTCGGCCTCATACACCACCGGCGACGCGGGCGTCGACTTCGGCAACACCTACTACAACGACCACCACTTCCACTACGGCTACTTCATCTACACCGGCGCCGTGCTCGCCCACCTGGACCCCTCCTGGGCTTCTTCGGCATCCAACCTCGCTTACGTCAACTCCCTCGTCCGCGACGTCGCCAATCCTTCCTCCTCTCTCGACCCTCACTTCCCCTCCTTCCGCACCTTCGACTGGTACCACGGCCACTCATGGGCCCACGGCCTCTTTGAATCCAGCGACGGCAAAGACCAGGAATCCTCCTCGGAAGACTCCATGCACGTCTACGCCCTGCTCATGTGGGCCCAAGCCACCAACAACCAAGCGCTCTACCAGCGCTCTGCCCTCCAACTCTCCATCCTCTCACGGTCGCTGAACTCTTACTACCTCTACTCCTCTTCCAACCCTTCCTCAAACATCCAACCAAAGGAATTTGTCGGCAACAAAGTAGCGGGTATCTTGTTCGAAAACAAAATCGACCATGTCACGTTCTTTGGCAACAAGCAGGAGTATATCCAGGGTATCCACATGTTGCCCTTGATGCCGCATACTTTGTTTGTGCGCAACAGGGAGTTTGTCAAGGAAGAGTGGGAGGCCTTTTTTGCTGGCGGGGCGGCAGATAAGGCGGAAGGAGGGTGGAAGGGGGTTTTGTATGGGAATTACGCGACGGTTGATCCCAGGGGGGCGTGGGAGGTGTTTACGGGTGGTGCTGCTGCTGAGGTGTCGACGGGCGGAAGTCAGCTTGTTGAGTCTCCTGGGAGTGGTAGTGGGAACGGTACTATCGGAACGGGAACGGGAACGGGAACGGTTGAGTCGATGACGAGTACCGCGAGTACCGCCAGTACGACGACGACGCCGGGCTCGACTACTCCTACGTCAACCTCTGTGCCTACTACTCCCGGTGCCATGTCATCGAAGATGGTGAAGAGGACGATCAGGAGGGCGTTGGAGAAGGGGAAGGGGAAGATGGGTATGCCTCTTGCTCGTGCTGCCCTGCCAAAGGCGAAGAAAGATGGGTTCGGCCCCGAGAACATTGATGGTGGCGCGAGTTTGACTTGGTATTTGACTTGGTGTGCTGGTAAGTTATCACTTCTTTCCCTTGTGGTTGTTGTAACGGGATGATGCTAATTTTGGATTTAGCTCTTGGTGGTCTTTAACTCGTGAGCAGGCGCAAATCCTCTCCGTTTGACTACCTATACTTTCACTTCTTATTCTGTCTTTTACCAACCCCTTTTCTTGCCTTTCATTTGCATTGCACGGAGTTTTTGGAGTACACAACTTGGCGTTATGGTTAAGATGGATGGAAAGAGGATATCACGGACGAGACGCATGACTTACAAAAGTCAATGAACACATTGGTTTAAACAGTAGACTACATGATAGAGTCAGGAACTAGAGTTAGACGGACCGGATTGTGGACTTGGAGTTGGAGTTGGATAGATACCCCGTATACTATGGCGCCCTGAATCAAAAAGGAAGTTGGGTTTCGTTGAGCATTTTTAGATGTTAGATAGTATACTGCATCGGTACGGAGTTATCATTCATGAGCTTATTACACGGATTAATCACATACCTACATATTTGACTACTTTCTTTCTAGCTCTATTATCTAAGGTCTCTCTCTGTCAATAATGTCAATAACATCCGCCGTTTGACGCCGAACGATAAGTATCGTATCTGATTTGTGCACCTCAGCTTTGGTCTACCCTCGTGTGATTAGCGTGACCAGCATTAACCATTCCTCCCATGCATATATAATGCTTCCTCCCTTTGGTGGCTGTCCAAAGCATGGGAGGTACCTATCTACGACCTACCTACCGAACTAGGCTTCAATTCCGTAAACACCTCTATCTCTATAACTACCTACCTCTTTCTTGAGCGCGCAATTTGAATAGTAAAAGCGGGGAGATACTTCCCCTAGATGTAACTCACAGCTACCTACCTACCTACCTAAGGTAAAGAAGACAGGGTGCCCACTATCAAACCGTACACATGTTGTGAGCTAGGTTAGCTGTTCAGCGGAACAGACTACTATGATGATAATTAGCTGGAATTGACCGTTCGTCGTTATGGCATCTGCTGGTAGTTGGATTCGATCAGAATGTGAATGTGCACATCCACGTTCGAGTGGCTCTCGATGATAACAGAATTGGGATTTGGAAGGTTGTTGGCACTGGGATGGTGATACCTACCTAGGTACCTACGAAATGGACAATCACTCGAGGGGAGGGTCGCTTTTATCCGGGGGTGGTGTTTCTACGAAATGGTCACATCGCAGCCTTGTTCTTTGGAGCTTACCTTTTTTTTTTTTTTTTTTTTTTTTTTCTTTTTTCAGGGCAAAGTAGTTGTACCTAGGTATGTTTCCCCGATTTTGCCTGACGCCTACCAGACAGACAGACAGACCAGACCAGACCTGCCCGCTTGCTTGCCTTCTTTAGAACCCTCACTCCTATACACGTAAATAACTGAATGAATACAAAATCCGTTCGTCAAGTGTGATAAAGAGTAAGTAAGCTCAAATTTTCACTTGTTCTTGTTCAAAAGGAGCTAAGAGTAAGGTATGTTATGTTGTGGGTGAGTGTCATCGTTGATATCTAGGTAGGTAGTCGAGAGGAAATGTCAGAAGCTTGGGTACCTAGGTAGGTATCTCGTCGGAGGTCCGCGCTCTAGGTTCCGGCCGCCTTCACTAGGTACAGTAGTAGCCTTGCCCACCTATTTTATTCACTGGCACACCCACCCTTCCGGGTATATCTACTTGTATACAGTAAGGTAGGTTGCCTAGGTAGGTAGCTTCCATTTTTCCCTCTTCCACAAACCAACTGCAAGAATCAACAACCCTTCCTTTTCCGTTATCGCCTTTCCTACCATAGCCCTCCAATATATTTATCTCCTTGTCTGGGCACTTCCCCTCCTGGTTGCAACAGAAGCCCCTGCCGGTTGAATGCGCTATAACTGAAGTTATGGAGTAGTGCTAGGGGCTGCTGCAGAGATCGCACGAACAACCTCAATGCTATATCAAAACAGTCAGTTGCATTGCCCTGAAACCGCACCATACCGGCTTGGTACTAACAGCTAGTTAGTGCACATGTGCCGTAGCATCTCAGCCCCTAACCTCCACATAACACTAACAAATTAACTAGCCCCCGGCCCTCCCACCCTCTCCTATACCAAAGCTATTAGTTCTGCTCACAAGATATACTTATCTTCCAACTGCTCGCCTCATGTTATCGACAAAATTTGAATAAAATCATGTAGCACTGACAACGCTAAAACATGTGAAGAGAGGATTGCATTTGCATCTGCATCTTTACTTGTATATCCAACACCAAATATCTAGTACCCAATAAAAGATATCACCTCGAAAGCGACTCGATGATCCTGCCTACGCAAATGGTGAATGACGAGAGGTATCTATCAATCTTGTTGAGGAGTGTTAAAAAGAAATAACAAAATAAAAAAAAGGGAACAAAAGGCCAAAGGATGCGTTCCGAACGTTGGTTCCCCAAAGAGCAAACACCAACACCAACACCAACGTCAACACTAACACAATGCCAACATACCTACTTCTATGAGGGGTTTTGTTGGAAAGTTACGATCGAACAGATTACCTACCTTGTTCCGGGGAAGGAAAATGCTGGATTTTATTGCTAGAAACTCCCATCGGGACACGGAATAAGGTCAGCCAGGTTAGTGCGCTGGTTGTGCTAGATCTCGTCATATTCCTTCAAGAAATGGAACCAAAAGCCATACCACCTGTTTTACCTACCTGCCAGGACTATTTGTAGTATGCAGTATAGCCAGAGTATAACGTATAATAGATTTTGATTGAATTGTATGTATGCAAACAGCTTTCCAAATCCCAAGCTGCTTCTGCTCTGCGCCAGCCCTCTTCTCTTCCATGTAAAAGGCCTAACAGTGACCGATCTCTAGCCGCTTTTCCAGTTCAGTTTTCCAACAACACTTGGGTATCCTTGTTTCTCCCTTTCCCAACAGCTATGCTCGCTCTTGGGAGCTCCCTACCAGAGAACCTCACAATGTGAAAAACGTATTCGTGACAAGGAAAATAATATTCGTGTAAAAATACACAAAGAAATGGATGTAGGTAGTAAAACAACCAAGAAGAAAAAAAATGCCATCGAGGTCTCCGGTAGGGAACACCTGTGACTTTGCATTTAGAAGATGGTGGAAAGTTTCTGAAGAGCATCAGCCGGGCTCGCCCAGAACGCGAGGGCAATGATGACGTAAAGTCCCATAAGCTGTTTTACACCTGTTAGCATTTCTTCCTTTTCCACTGGAGCAAATCCAGAGGGAGAACAACTCACCATAGCACCCTCCAAATAGTTACTCTTCCCATCCTGCACCGTATACGTAACCACCATGACCGACAAGGCAAAGGCAATCGTCTCAAACGTCTCAAAATGCAGCGACATGGGCTGTCCAATCGCCCAACCCAGCAACACCAAAGACGGGGTGACCAACAGCGCAATCTGAATGCTGCTGCCAATCGCCACGCCCATGGCCAAATCCATCTTATTCTTGACTGCCACCACACAAGCCGTCACATGCTCGGCCGCGTTGCCGACAATGGGAATCAAAATCAGACCGATAAACGTTTTGCTCATGGCGCCCGTGGCAGCAATGTCGTCGATCGAGTCGACCATGTAATCAGCCGCGTACGAAATAATGACCGTCGTGACAATCAGGACCAAGGCGGCAGACCAGGGCGACAAGACGGGATCCTCCTTGGGCTCGGTAACCACATCGCCGACGGCTTGGGCCTCGGGCTCAAACAACTCCTTGTGGGTGCGCAGAACAAAGACGAGGTAGGCGCAGTAGAGGAGGAGGAGAATGACGGCGGTACCGCGCGAGAGCATCAAGATACTGTCTTGCTTCTCTTGGCTGTCCGAGTGGTTGAGCATGGTGTACAGCGCCGCGGGGATGATCAGGGAGGCCGAGGCAAGCGTCATCATGGAGCACGTGGTTTGGGCGGTCCCGGAGGCAAAGGTCTGCTCGATGCCGACGCCGTTGGAGTCGCGCATGTTGAAGATGCCACCGAGGAGGAAGCACATTCCCAGCACCAACAACAGGTTAGAGAGAATGGAGCCCAGCATCGAGGCTTGGACCACTTCGATTTCGCCGGCGCGGAGGGCAACGATACTGACCTGGAAGAGCGGAATGGTTAGTCCTATGAAGATAAAAAAAAGGGCTGGTCAGAACTTGGGTGTGAAAAAGGCATACAATTAGTTCCACAGCATTACCAAATGTCGCGTTAACCAGACCGCCGAGGGTTTCTCCCAGTCTATGGGCGATCTCCTCGGTTGCAAAGGAGAGGACCGCAGCCAGAGGGATGATGGCGAAGAAGTTGAGAGTGAACACTGCCGGCGCACTCCAGCCTCGCTCACCGGCGATGATGCCTAGGGGCACAAAGATAAGAAGGATGTTGATCCATGCTGAGGATATATATTAGCCGTGCGCTCTATGGAACGGGCGATTTTCATGGGATACATACAGCTCAGAAGAGTGACCTTGGTGACATTCCATACTCGGGTAGGGTACTTGACGAGGGGATTGGGATGGTTGGTGCCAGGGGTATTGGTGGTATCAAGGAAAAAGTCGCGCCATGAAAAGTCCGAGTGGGACTCGGTGGTCCAGCGGCCGCCGTTGCTGGTTCCGTTGGCGAGGAGCGGGCGGCGTTCCGAGTCCATGGTGGTGTATCCGTTGGTATGCCCGTTGATGTGACCGGTAAGATGCCCGTTGGTGCTTGGGTTGGTACCGTTAATGTGGGTATAACCGTTTCCGTTGGAGATGCCGTTGGGATGGTCGCCTTGATGTTTGGGCGCAACGATACTGGACGCGCGACGAATTTGGGCGCGGAAGGGAACCGTGACTGTGGATATGAGGTTTGTTAAAGGGTTGCCCATGGTTTTGCGACGAAGCGAATGATAAGACGAAAAGAGCGAGGATATGGAAGGTGTCCTGTCCGCCAACGGGATGTACTTCTTTGTTTGCAAGCAGTCCGCCGCACCAGCGCAATCTTGGAGAATGCGCGTTGGGAAACGGATACAGGCGATATCACAATCCCGTCGTCGCGAACAGATGGAAAAACACGTGTAGATGGGTATGTAGTTTGGAGAAGGACGGGAATCCAACAATTCGCCTTTTTCTCTCTCTTTTTCTTGAAACAATCAAGGGAGTGGGGTAGGGGAAGGGGGTAAAATATGGGGTATAGTATATTGAAGGAGAGGGATGGGATGGGATGGGATGGCATGTATATTGTAACGATAAGGGTCTCTCTGTTAACTTACACCAGGACATGTTTACTCGATATATCAAGGGACTGCTGTTTCGCAATGGTAGGGTCCCCTGTTCAGATTGGGTAAGTAATTACCGATTGCCTATGCGCCGCAAGTACCAGTGTCTTTTGCCGGTATGTGCGGATGCCCAAAACTGAACCGTCGAATACTCACTCGATCCAGGCGTTGACAGGGCTTGGGGCAGCGGATGGGCAGACGGGTGGGGTGTTCTTGTGCAGGTATCGCCCCTCTGAAAGAGTATTTGCCCAGACAAGGCGTGTTCCTGGGCGTTCAACCTCACTTTTGGCTGCCGGATGGGTGAAGGGCGAGTTCAAAGGGCCAGCCAGGCAGTGTTGGATCGAGAAGTGCTGCCAAGGGCAAGCCAAGGGGATAATCTGGGTTGGTTAGTCCAGTCTAGATGGTGGTTGTTGGGCAAAGCCACAATGAGGATGCGCGGAAAGGCAATGGTTGGCGGGAGGTGACGAGATGGATAAATGGTTCCAAAGGGTTGATGGGAGATCTGATGATGTTGGCAGTGTAGGTAGTAGGACAGAAAAAGGAATGGGGGGAGCTTCTTTGAGGAAAAGAATTGATGAAAACTCAGGGCAGAGATGCGGGTTTGTCGGGGATCATGATTGAATCCGGATCGTTCCTGCTTGGAGAGGTCTCCAACGTCACTGATGGATGTTGAGATGGCATATCGATCCGTGCGCATCAAGGAACCCGGGCATCCATCCTTCAGTTTTCAGCTCATCTCTCGCAAGCTCAACCGCCCACACTACTACTACTGGTAGGTCGGGTACTTACCCCAAGTGTTTTCTTGTGTGTCCCTGATCAATCAATCTAGACCCAACGCGGGAACGGTTGGGTAATGCAAGCATATTGCCAAGAAACAGTAACTTACACGATGGTATTGTAAATCCGGTGGCGCGGTGTGCCTAGGTACGTAAGGACTCGTGGTGTCAGATGTGGTTTTGGCGAATTGTGTAGTCTCAGACTTTTTCACAATTCGGGAGCATGAGACACAGACAGAGCACACTGGGGGATACAGATCTCGTTGGCAGCAAACATAAATACCATGAACCTCCTTGAACCTCTCTGACTCCCTGGCCTGCCCTACCCTTTGTCCGTGCCGTTCCGCTAGGCGCCGGCATTGCGTCGAATCCGTTTGATGTTTCCTTCCCGTGGGAATACTACGCAGTACATATTCTCGGAAGACCAGGGAAACGGAAACAAGACTAGGTATGTGTGTTGTGTGGAATGTGGATATGTATCATGGAGTCATGAACAAGTATAAAAAGGGCAGGATGGCCCTTCCCCAAAACTTGTCGCGAGCAATTGACTTCCCGATCGACCGGACAATGATGGTAGTGATGACGAGATGATGCAGGGGAACATGTTCATCTCCAGGAGATGGATGATGTTTGTGGGAGTGACGAGTGTTGATACTTGCCCGGCGAGGTCCCGAAGACGCCGACACACCAATTTGGGTATTTGTTGCTCGATAGGTATCGCTGAAAAGGGTAAAGCTCCATCTGGATCCATGACATTATTGCTTGAGAGAGTGGGACCATACGTCACCGGCAGGCCAGTCAAGTGTCGCCAAAGATTGACTGGTAACGAACAAGCTTTTTAGTTCCAGAAAGTTTCTTTGCACAGCCCCTTTGCCAAGAGCCCCCCTTGTTGACAAATCCCAGTCGAGCTGATGGACGACGACGACCTGCCTTTATTGACTTCCCTCAAGTTTTCAACTCAACGGACTCCCGAGACCGACGGACCACAGGAAGAGGGGCAGTAGCCGCGGAGGCAGCTGGGACTGGAACTTGAACTGATATCGGGACACGAGAGAGAACTGGCGCGAGTCAAGGACCATGTCGTGGACAACCACCTTGTCGCACCACCGAAACCAGAAACGCGAACAAGAGTCATGACAGTGCAGTCGGTGCGCCAGAGAAAAGGGTCACAAGACATGCATGGTCTAGTCTATTTGACGCTCCATGTCTCAACATCTGGTACACTACAAGGTTGAGCACATGGTGGAACAAAAAGTAAAGAGAGGATGTTGAGTCTAGACGCCTGACGTCTGAGTTCTGGTTGGAATGCCTCTCCGCAGGCTTCTTCACTTCTGCGCTGCCTCCTGCGCTGTACAGAATGCCATGCGCATCTGTGGCATACATACATGTGTTCCTACAGTCTCCACCTGCATATTGTACTTGGGTACTGATGCGGGGAAGAAATGGCAAGGCAGCACAGCACAGCACAACACCACCTCCAATTCACCCACCGAAACAGAATATTCTGAATGGTACTCCAGAAATGCCTCGGAGTGCTTCAGTGATACAAACCACCAGTCGCGGATGGATGTCGACTACGATACTACATTACAAGTCTACAACAGGTCGAGTGCATTTCTGGGCGGCATAAAGTGGGGACCTTTGAGGCCTCCGCCCATATTCAGCCAATAATGAGACCCAGGTACAAATGCCGTTTGTGTGCCTTGAAGGGTGCATCACCATTTCTGATTAACCGCGTGCAAGCTACCGGTTGGGTAGATGGAAAAAAGAAACGACGTGTGTTGGGCACGATGGTCAACAATCACCGCCAGACAAATCGTCTCCCCCGCATTACCTCCGAGTGACCGGGGCTGGACTACCGGATTTGTGGGTCACCCGTCCCGATACTCGGAATCAGTCACCCGGAAGTTTGGATGAGGACAGGAAGTTGCACCGTGGTGGGATTGATATCTCGATGAAAAACGAATTGTGGTATTACAACAACTGGTCGGGGATAGCAACAAACTAACAAATTAACAAACCCCCAAACTCCATCGCTATGCATTCTTCTTTCAATCCCTAGCATTTATCGTAAACCTCAATCCAATCCCAATTCCAATCCCATCCAAATCCCATATCCAGACCACAAGCACAAAAGGGTATCACAATCACAAAACACAAACACACAAAATCACTCAAACCCAAACCTCCTCCCCTTATCCAACTCATCCTCAACCTCCCTCGCCCCTTTCTTCGACAACAACCCATGTCGACCATTCAAATGATCCCAAAAGTCTCCTCGCGTATCAAATCCTCTATCCCCTTCTCCTTTCCCTTCTCCTTCTCCTTCCTCTGCCTCGTCCCTTTCCTCCCCCTTTTCTCCCTTTATATCATTTCCATCTTCCTTCCCATCCCCATCTCTTCTCCTCCCCCCCTCCCTCCCCTTCCCCTTCCCTTGTCCCTTCTTACAAGTATCAGGATTCCTCTCACACCCCTCCACCCAACAAAAGTACCTCACCCCCAACGCAAACGTCTCCCACCTCGTCGTCGCACTCCTCGCCCGTCGTTTACGCACCAGTACCTCTGCATACTTCTTGAGCAGTCGTCGTTGTTCGCCGTTATTAGCGGAGAGCCACCGTTCCGTGGCTTGTTCGATTTCGTCGAGGTGGTGGTTATTGGTGGTCCGATGACGACGACGGAAGGGTAGAGAGGAAAAGGGTAGACTAAAAAAAGGGGAGAGGGAGAGTGGAGAGACTTGGAAGCGGTGGTAGTGCGTGTAGAGGTGGCCCTTGGATTGGCGGAGTTCTTCCAAGGCGGGGGAGTTGGTGTTGGTGGTGGATGAAGATGGGGACGAGATAGGGGAAGAGGTACCTCTAGCGGAGGGAGAGTTGGAACTGGTGGTGGAGGGGGACATGGAGGAGGAATACTCGGACGGGGAAGATCGGGAAGAAAACGGATGAACGAGCTTTTCGTAAAACCAAGCGTTGTGTTCGTCTGTTCCCAGAGACAAAAGTAGATCGATGGGCGGGTTGGAGGTGTCTGGGACAGAAGGAGGAGTGGAAGGGTCGACGCCTAACAGGGAAGAAATCTCTTTGAGGACTGGTAGCGTTGGGTCGCGGATTTCCTTGCTGCCGTCGACGAATTGGCCAATGGCGGGGAGCTTGAATGGCTTGAATTGCAAAGAGTCCGAAGGGGTGGTGATGGCCTTGGCGACCTCAGGGATCGAAGGGACTTTACCTTCTTCGTCGGAACCGTCCATGTCGGCCACGAGGACTTCTTCGTAGGTGCAGAACGCATAAGGGTGTCGTTCTGTGGGAGTGGTCGAGTCGATCTCGCTGCACCAGGCCAGGGTCTGGCATTGAAAGGATGTTTTCTTGAAAGAAATCGACGAGGTCGGACTGCTGGTTGTCGTGCTCGAGCAACTGGAGGCGACGGTGTTGTTCGTATTCGCCCGTTTAGTCGTCGGCGAGATATCCTCACTGTCGCTAACGATTGCTCGCGAGGCAGCGGTATTGTTCCCGCTTCCAGTCAAGTCCGTACTAGTCACACTGAACTTGGCAAACGTGTCAAACCACGCTCTACTCTTCTTGGTCGGCCACGTCGTCCTCCTCTTATCCTTCTCCCTAGAGGTATCCGCACCACCATGAAACCCCGGCAGCGGAATCTCAAAAGTGCCGCTCAAACCCGGGAAACTAATCACCCTCCTTCTTCTTCCTTCCGCCCTGCTGCTGCTTCCCTCCCTCTTTTGACTTTGACTCCCTCCATCGCCCACATCAACCTTCTCCTCCTCCTCCGCTGCAGCAGCATCCTCCTCCATCTCCAAAAACAACACCGGCAACCCCCTCCCATCCCTTCTACTCCTTCCCTCTCCATTCCTAAACTCCTCCAAACACCCTTCCACCGTCCGTCCCATCACCCCCAACATAATCGCAATCAATCCCCCCACTGACGTCCCCGCGATATAATCAAAATAATGACTAGGCAAGTACTCCCCCTTTCTCATTGTCTCCGGGGGTACATCCACCTTTAACTCACCCACTTTCACTTTCCCTTTTCCCCTCATGTGCATGTCTCGTAACTTCCCCGCCCTCTTCTCGCAGTCCAGCATCTCCATTTCCGTCCCGACACCACTATAAAAGTGACGATCCTCTTCGTCGTCCGAAGCAGTAAAGTAGTAACTTTCGTTTCCCGTCGGGTCAGCGGAGCAAAAAGCCGGTGGACTGAGAGATTGCTCGAGAGCAGCAATTTCTTGCATTAACGTGCGCAGGAGGATCAAAGAGGAGTACCCTTTTATACCGCCGCCGTCGAGCGTGAGGATGTTGCGGGTTGCCCAGGGCGTGGTGGTGACGTGCAGCTGCAGTCGGGAGGAGAGGGAGGAGTGTAGGGTTTGGGCGATTTTGAGGGTGGAGGCGGTGTGGGCAATGGGGTTTGCGGCGAGGTTGCTAGGTGGAGGTTGCGCGGCATTGTCTGTTGCTGGATTTGGAGGGACGGAGGATGTGATTGTTTCTGCTTTAAGTTGGGTTTCTTCTGGCTTGGGTTCGGGCTTGGGCTCGGCGATGGACACGCGGTTGGATATTCGTCGGACGTTGGGCGGGCGGTTGATGGAGCGGAGAGCGGAGTGGCTTGTTTTGAGAGCGGGAGGACGGGGACGTTCTCGTGATGGTGAGTCTGAGGAGGAGGAGGGTTGTTGCTGGCGGCGTGGATTGAGAACTTCTGTCATTTTGACTGGTTTGGGTCACCGAGGTGACCACTGTTGGTTTAAACGACACGCGCGGTCTTGTCTGGCGATTGTTTGCGCATTCGCTCGTGGCGACTCTAACGAGTTGATAGACGATGGCTTCAAGTGCTCACCAAGCAAGCGAAGTCGCGATCGATGGACTTTGTGGCTGATTGATCGCCAAACTTGGAATGAAGAAGGAAAATTAAGGTAACGACCAGAACTCCAGCCTTATAATATTCTCCTCTTACTGATCCCATTGTCACTCTTCCTACCATTCATCAACCCGTTTGAGGCGTCAAGGTGTCACCCGCTCACTGATTGACCGACTCAAAGGACCGCCCGATTGAGTGGATTTTGTGTAACTTGGTCCGGCCCCCTAATTCTCGTGCAATCATTGGCCTCCCGTTCGCTGACCATACCAAGCGACAAAGGCCCCCTGTAATTTTCAGCATCACCAGCCGCTTTTCAGTGGTCATAGGTGGCTGAAGCTGTCACCGGTCCAAGAAACAGATGACGAGCCTCGCCGAGAATTGTCCCTGGACGGGAATACCTCTAGTTACAGTTGCCGTTCCAGAAGGGAGTGGCGAGTCGTGTGCCAGGCCGTCGGGATTGCGCGAAACATCTGACAAAACACCTTACAATGAAGACTGTGGCAATCGATATCTTTCCTTCTAGGTATTCCTGTCGAGCCTGTATCGCCATCAAGAATGATTCCACCGGCATGTAAGGAACTGTTTTGCGTACAACGCCAGGCGATCGAGGCTGTCAAGTACCTAATCGACCTCTACCGCCAGAACCAAACTCATGGAGTTGAAGCTCTACCACTGCGATATCTCCGATAGCACTTGCTTGGGGAACCGTTTGACTTCCCCTCGCCATATTCGCAAGGCGAAAGAGGACCAAATGGCCGTGGGCCATGGTGCTTCATCTGCCACTGCGACCAGGAGGCCGCTCTTGCGGCACGCCTGGTGTTCTGAACATCCTCGGATTGTTTCGTTTCTTTGGTGGTATTTGGAAGATGTTGGAACCCAAACTACCTAATAATCAACAATCACGTCGACACTGGACATTCTGGTCGTTTACGTTGACAGGGCATCTCGGTTGCTTGCTGTTTCCGTCTTGAACCTTCTGTTTGTAAGCTTTCGATTGCCATGACTTTCACTGGAAACAGTGATGGATGGGCGGCTGTGCTGCTGTGATGCTGTGAAGAGGCAGTCTTGAACTAATCCCGGTTCAGTGAGTCAAGTCAGCTGCCATCTCTTCTCGCGACGATGTGGTCGAGTCTCGAGTCTCGCGATCTAACAAATATGAGCCTCATCCGTGTAAAAAAAAAAAGGAATGGAATGGGTAAGGCTAGTTTCCGATGGCTATGCTGAGGAAAGGTATAGAACCCGTTACCGAGAAACGTGAAGTATCTGGAAGCTGACGTGCATCTGATACTTGCCTGTCCCTGATGTCCACGAGGAGGAGAGCACGAGGGGTCTGCGGGAGGCCTGAAGATCAACCGCCGAAGCTCACAATGATTGGTCGTTCGGGTAGCGTCACAATGCTTGGGCCGAGAGTGAAACGCCAAACAGAGGGGTAACTCTCCCGTCCGGCAGGACGATGGATGATGACTTTCAGCCCTAGGCAATGTGCTAGGTACCTGGGCACTGATGTCTGCCTGTTTGCATGAAAGCTTCACTTTTCCACCTGACAACAATGTTGTGAACGAAGCTCTTCTGGATACCTACTTCAGCATTTGAGTTGCTTTGCTTCACCGTGGTGAATATCACGACCGGGTCTTGGCGCTGACACTCATCGAGCTCACCATTCCGCTTCACAATGGACCCCCTATCAGCCTTTGAACTCGCCCAAGTGGTCCTCGACAACACCGTCCGACGTGTGTCACCATTCCCTTCTCTTTGTTTATTCCACCCATATTAACATAATGCCACCACAGTCTTCAAATTCGTCTCGGCCCTCGTCGAATACCCCGAAGAGTGCGAGAAATACCGATTACAGCTCATCATCGAATATAATCGAGTTCTCGCCTGGGCCAAAGCCGCCGGACTCATTGAAGTCACTCCTGGCTCTTCACTAGCCTCCACCTTGGGGACGAATGCCACCGAGCTGATCACCATCCTCGCTCGGATCCAATGGCTTTTGGCCGAGTTTAGGGATTTGAACGCCAGGTATGGAAATGAGCTTGTTCCATCCGATATCTCTCCTGCAAAAGATAAAGGGAAGGAGAAGGATGGCAAAGAGAGTAAGGACGTCAAGGGTAGAACCAAGGACGCCAAGGGTAGCGGAACGGACAGTAGGGACAAAGATCCCAAAGCTGTCGGTGGGGCCTCCTCGTCAAAAGAAAAATCAACCTCTTCAGAGCCAAAGCCAGCAACCGACGAAGCCCTCCTCTCCCAAATCTCCTCTTTGGCCTTATCTTACGATCAATCCCAGAAGGAGCAGAAACTCAAGGTCGAAAAGGAAGAGGATGCCAAACACCGACGCGGAACCAACCACATCCGTCGCTTCTTTCGCACAACCAAGGAGGTGGTCACCCACCCCTCCCGCGTGCGATGGGTCATGGTCGACAAGGAAGCCTTTGAGGCTTTGCTCTTGGACTTGCAGTCCTTGACGGAGAGGTTGGACGAGCTGATGCGGGGGTATCAACAGTCCAAGATGGACGACATTATTGGCAAGACTTACCGGGAGATGATCTTGGCAAGAGACGGGATTGGGGAGTTGAGGGATATGGTGGATGTACTGGGAAAAATGGTGGAAGGGATGGAGGTGGTGGCTGATGGAGAAGGAGGGAGAGAAGGGAGGAAGAGGAAGATGGTGAATGATGTGCAGGATTTGATCAGGCTGAAGAAGATGGCGAGGGTATCCGAGGAGTTGCTTTCCAGGCTTCATCAAGGACAAGATCCGACGGCGACGTCGAGACTCGAGGCGAGCGATACCAAGATCACTGTTGCCCAGTTTGGCGACCCATGGAAGGGCCACAAAGATTTTCTGGAGGTCTTTTATATGCACGATGGCGATCGAGATTTCGACGGCGAATGGGACTTTGGTAGTATCCTTCGTTTCAAACGGCCACGGGGTTACCTAACCGTGGCAGAAGGCGTGGATGAGTTCCCGGTCTGGATTGAGTGGAAGCCCATGGGGGACCACACAGAAGGCTCGGTCGAAGAGAAAGTGGCCGATCTGCGTACACTGACCCTCGCGGAGATGCTACACCTTCCCAAGCCTGATTCCCTTCACTTCCCAGAATGTGTCGGCTACTTCAATGCGCGGGACGTGTTCGGGGTGGACATGTACGGTTTCATCTTCAGGGCGCGGAAAGAAAGAGTTTGTTGGGGTCATAGAATTGTCTCCCTCTACGATTTGTTGGGCACAGAGATGTTCAAGCCGAGTCTGTCGCAACGGTTTGACTTGGCCTTGAAGCTTTGCACCACCGTCCTGAACCTGCACGCTGTCAACTGGCTGCACAAGGGAATCTTTAGTGACAACGTCATCTTCTACTTCGACTGGGGTAACGGGCTCAACAAGGCAATGAAGCAGGTTTACGATCCCGAGAAACCTTACCTCTGCGGGTTTGGGTATTCCCGACCCGAGAAGAGCAAGACTACCGCACGCAGTCTCAACATGGCGTGGGATCTCTACCGCTGGCCGGCCATCCAGCGCGAGCATCCGACCGATCACAATTCTCGCAAGACGTATGACTTGTACAGCCTTGGACTGGTGTTGCTTGAGATTGGACACTGGAAGCCGCTCGATGAAATTCTGGGCCTAAAGGAGTCGGAACCCTCCCCTTCGTTTGATCAAACGGTGGTGCCTGAGAGGGATCAAACGGTGGTGCCTGAAAGGAAGCCGCCGTCGGTAAGCCTTTCCGACTCCAAGAAGGCCAGGGACTGGCTGCTTGGTACGCTGTTTGACGCCCCCTTCATTAAGGCCAAGAAACTCAACCCCTTGAGGGAGCTTCGGAATCTCATGGGAGATAAGTACACCAGGGCCGTGGAAAGGTGTCTGTGGGCTCACGGCGAGAAGGGATTCGGAGTGGAGGACCTTCCGGATCAGTCAAGGGATTCGGGGGTTGGGATCCGATTGCAGGAGGCGTTCACCAAGTATGTGATTGAGGAACTTCAGGGGGTGAATGTTTGATGAGAATATGCCCCGAGGTAGAGTGATTCATGATGTTACGATCCACTCACTGTTGATGATGGTGCTGTTTTTGGACAATTGAAAGAAAATGTTGAAAGTTGAAGATGATGCCTTGAAATGCCAAGATTACAGAACCCCAATGGGGCACTGTGAATCCCCACATTTACGGTAGTATTTACACCACACAACCCCCTGTTCCGTCCCGCAGCGCCGAGCCGTAACTGTCCCCGCCCATTACGGCATCGGCCGGCCGAAGTCCGAATTTCACTCAATATCGGTGCCCGTGAAATTTCAACCTCACCTCACCTCGGGTCTCACAACTCCGATCCGGTCCGGCAGACAAGTCAGTGAGCACGGCACGCCCACATGAGATAAGGATCTGAGTACCTACACCATCACCACCAACCACCACATCTTTATATCCTCATCTCACCTCAAACCGGTCCTTTAAAAAGCCTCCTCCTTCGGGAGCAAAACAACACAATCAAAATGACCGGCACACCCCTCACCACCGCCCTCGAGCGCCACGCCAGCACCGTCACCCGCCTCTCCTCCCAAATCTCCTCCTACTACGCCGCCCGCCTCCCCTACCGCATCTTCCACGGCTCCACCAACTCGACCCGTCCGCCCACGCAAAAAGGCACCAACACCAAATTCGTCGACATTTCCTCTCTAAACAATGTCCTCTCCGTCGACCGCGCCACCAAGACAGCCCTCGTCGAACCCAACGTGCCCATGGACAAGCTCGTCGAAGCCACGCTGCCTCACGGCTTAGTCCCGCCCATCGTCATGGAATTCCCCGGTATCACTGCCGGTGGTGGATTCGCCGGAACAGCAGGGGAGTCTAGTTCGTTTCGCCATGGTTTTTTCGACGATACCGTGCGGGAAGTGGAGATGGTTTTGGGTAATGGGGAGGTAGTCAAAGTGAAGAATCCTGATCTCGAGGCAGCGGCTGGGAAAACTGGAGAAGTGGAAAAAGGGGATCTCTTCCGCGGAGCAGCCGGTGCCGTAGGAACTCTCGGCACCACAACACTCCTAGAAGTCCAACTAATGGACGCCAAAAAATTTGTCAAAACCGAATACAAGCGCGCCAACAGCGTAGCGGAAGCGATCCGCATGGTGCGCGAGGAAACCCAAAATGCCGAGAACGACTACGTGGACGGGATTTTGTTTAGCAAAGACCACGGCGTCATCGTAACAGGCAAACTCGTCAACGAGTTACCTCCTCCCCCTTCCTCTGATGTCCCACCAATCAAACCCCAAACCTTCAGTGGACCATGGGACCCCTGGTTCTACCTGCACTGCCAGTCCCAAACCCTTTCTCCCTCAACCACCACAAATTCCCCGGTGGCGACCGACTACGTCCCCCTCGCCGAATACCTCTTCCGCTACGACCGGGGTGGATTCTGGGTCGGCGCCGCAGCCTTTCAATACTTCAGCTGGGTTCCCTTCACGCGGCTCACGCGGTGGTTCCTCGACGACTTTCTGCACACACGCATGATGTACCGCGCTTTGCACGGGTCCGGCGAGTCCGCCCGTTTCGTCGTGCAAGACATCGCCATGCCGTTTGAGACCTCCGAGGAATTCATCGACTACACCTCTTCCTCTTTGGGAATCTGGCCACTATGGCTCTGCCCCTTGAAACGCCGCGCGCCCCCGACTTTTCATCCGCATACTACCCGTCCTGGCACTCACCCGTCTGACGAAAAGGCGCAAGATAAAATGATGCTCAACATTGGCGTCTGGGGCTGGGGTCCCGATCAACCACAGGAGTTCGTAGCCAAGAACATCGAATTGGAGAACAAGGTAAATGAGTTGGGTGGTATGAAGTGGTTTTATGCGCATACGTATTATGAACAGGAAAAGTTCTGGAAGATGTATGGTGGACGGACGTGGTATGATGAGCTGAGAAAAAAGTATCATGCCGAGCACTTGCCGACGGTGTGGGACAAGATCCATGTGGATGCGGATAAGGCGGGCAAGAAGCAGCGGCATTGGTTGTTGGCCAAGAAGCCGATTGGGGGGTTTTATGGGATTTGGAAGAGTATTCAGAGCAAGGATTACTTTTTGCATAGGAAGGCTCAGTGGAAGTGGAAGGGGGAGTGAAGTAAAGTTTTCTCAGGATAGATGTAGAGGTGGATAGAGGTAGAGGTGGTGCAAAAGTAGAATACCCCTTTTGAGAATTGTACAAAAGTTTGTCAACGATGATCTGCTTATGGCAATGTTTCACGACAGATTTGTCCTATACCCCAGAAGAAAACCATTGTTACACATTCTCCATCAAACCCTGTGCTGAACTACCCAGGACCTGTGGTAAACATGTTAACTATCGAACTGGTGATCAGTCAAAAAGGTTTGAAGGTTCGGTAACACAAACTGGAGACGTTCGCAAGATTATAAGCCCAGAGACTCAAATATGGAGTGTCGCCTCCTCAGCTCACATACCGAAGGAAACAGCATATCATGTTCATAAACGCCCACCATCGCATACAACCGCAATTCCTATATCCACTATGGTAACTCATACATCTCCAACACCCCATATCCTATGCTTTCTTTCTTTACCCCCCCCCCCCCCCCC